CAGGGCCTCATACATGCAAGGCAAGCACTCTACCACTGAGCCACCTTCCCAGCTCCAGCAGTCCTGTCTTTTTTTTTTCTTTAATTATGTGTAACCCATGTTTTATTCAGTTTATTTCTGAAAATGGTTTTTACACACCAATCTGGAGAGTCTTACTTTTAATAATGAGAGTGAAGAGCAGTTTTCATTAAAATCATCTCAGGAAATCAGGCATAAACCAGAATACAAAACTAAATATAGGCTCATCTAGTGATAAAACATCACATTGCAGAATTTTTTTTCCTATTTTTTATTTATTTTTTAAAATTTTTTAATTTTTTAATTATCTTTAACTAGTTGTACAAAGACGTTCCCATTCTACAAAACAGTATATGAGTACAGAGTGTCTGACAACATTGCCACCCATCTCTCTTAACCCATCCCTTCTCTCACTTTTTTTTCTTTAATTGAGATTAGGTGGTTACATAAATTTCACATATTTCACAATATTGTGGAATAGTGATACTTAGTTAGAGTCACAAACACATTTTAACTTTCACAAGGCAAATTGTCATTATCATGTTCTATACAGTTGGTGAATTCTATGAGCTTTGACATTAGAAGTTATTTTTTCCACATCAGGTGATGTTTACATTTCTTTCCTTTTGCTTAGTGTGGGCTGTTCCCACTTCTTCTGTTCCTCCTCCTGGCTTCCCTCTGTTGTGTGCATATATGCATATACCATTTATATGGTCCAGAACAGGGAGTCGTTTAGCAATGATATGACAAAATGGGTGGCTGTCTTTGTTTCTTGAGTCCTGTTTGCCATATCTTCTTGTATTTTGGCTTTACCATCCACATACCAGGGAGACCATGTGCCGTTTGTCTCTTTGTTCTTTGCTTACTTCGCTCAAAAGAATCTGATCTATTTCTATCCATTTCCCTGCAAATGCCATTATTTTGTCCTTTCTAATGGCTGCATAATATTCCATTATATGTAGATACCACAATTTTTGGATCCACTCATCGGTAGTGGGGCATTTGGGTTGTTTCCAAATCTTGGCTATTGTGAACAGTGAGTAGTCCTGTCTTTTAAAGTCATTCAAGTATATAGTGTTACAGTGATCCTTAAAGGACCCACAATACGCACCAAGCATGATAGTGCATATTTGTAATTGCAGCACTTGAGAGGCAGAGCCAGGTTGAGGACAATGACTGCTACATGGTGAGACCTTGTTTCAAAAAACCAAGGGCTGTGAATAAAGCTCAATGGCAGAGCCTGGCATACACAGTGTTCAATCCCCAGTACTGAAATGGAGAGGACTTGTAATCTCTTATTGATACTGAACACTAAATGTCAAACATTCTACTACTTTTGTTGTTGTTGTTGTTGTTTTTTTTGTTTTGTTTTTGGGTCCGGTCGTGGGGCCTGAACTCTGGGCCTGGGCGCTGTCCCTCAGCTCTTCAGCTCAAGGCTAGTGCTCTACCACTTGAGCCACAGCACCACTTCTGGCTTTTTTTTTCTTTTTGCTTATGTGGTGCTGAGGAATCAAACCCAGGGCCTTGAGCATGCAAGGCAAGCGCTCTACCACTGAGCCACCTTCCCAGCCCTCTACTACTTTTTGTACATATTGTTTCACTTAATTCTCACAATAACCAATGTGGTATGTGTTAGTGTGTCTATTTCATAGACATATAACGTAAGAGCTTAGTAACTTACTAAGTATTAGGGCCAGGATTTGATTCTAAATCTGCCTCCAGAGCCCATGGCCTGCTCAGTGAGGTGCCATTGGAGAGGCAGGATGGACTTTTGGGAAAATGTAAACTGGTGGACAAGTGGATGATTATTTGCACTGGATAGTAAGCTATACTGATTGGCTCATGTATGAGATGTCAGAATCAAGATTCTAAAAGATCTTGGCAGACCGAAAGAACAGATAAAAATAATAAAATGAAATTTGCTGGAGAGATGCAAAATTCCCCATTTAAGTAAAGATCAGCTTTTTAAGACTTGAGGAGGGAGAAGATGTTTCGTGTGCTCTGTGAGGGAATAAAAGAATCCAGCAATTTTATTTATCTGCCAGTTCAAATCAAGTTTGCAGTAGAGCGATGGCTGTCACAGGTACTAGTGCAATCTAAAGCTACATTCAGGCAAATATAGAAATGGCCAGGGATTGGGTGGGGGGTGGGCAGGGGGAGGATGGGAAAGGATGGGAAGGGGAAACAAAGGAGGAGGCTACAATGCTTGATAAGAAATATACTCATTATCTTGCCCATGTACTTGTAACCACTCTGTACAGTATTTTCACAATAAATAAATAAAAAAAAAGAAATGGCCAGGGAAGAAATGAAGACAGGATAATAAGGGAGCTAGGGTGCCAGTGGCTCACAACTGTAATCCCAGCTACTCAGGAGTCTGAGATCTGAGGAACTTGGTTCAGAGCAAACCCAGGCTGAAAAGTTCATGAGACTCTTTTATCTCCAATTAACTACACACAAAAGAAAAAAGAAAAAAAAAGCTGGAAGTGGAGCTGTGGCTCAAGTGGTAGAGTGCTAGCCTTGAGCAAAAAGAAACCTCAGAGACAGTGCCCAGGCTGAGTTCAAGCCCAAGGCTGGCGTGCACATACACATATATACAGGGGTGATAAGGGAGCTGAAAGTTCAGCTGTGAAAAATGAAGGAATGGATTAGAGTAATCAAATACGATTCATATGATAGAATGGTTAGGCTTCCTACTTAATCTCAGAGTAAACCTAGCTCCTGGCCAGTGCACAGGTGAATATGGGACATGTGGATTTCACAAAGCTGTCATTGGCTGTTCCAAAATGATCTTGCAATCTAGTGAGGCAATGGGGTTCAAAGCTTATGGAAATCTGGCTTGTAGGAGAAAAAGGGAGGCCTAGAGGCATCAAAGGTGCTTCACTAGAAAACAATATAATTGCATTTGGAGGGGCTGGGAAGGTGGCTCAGTGGTAGAGCGCTTGCCTTGCATGCATGAGGCCCTGGGTTCGATTCCTCAGCACTACATAAGAAAAAGAAAAAAGCCGGAAGTGGCACTGTGACTCAAGTGGTAGAGTGCTAGCCTTGAGCCGAAGAGCTGAGGGACAGCGCCCAGGCCCAGAGTTCAGGCCCCACGACCGGATCCCCCCCCAAAAAAAATTGCATTTAGAAGATTGGTGTGGGCTGAGTGCTGGTGGCTTACAACTGCAATCCTAGCTATTCAGGAGGCTGAGATCTGAGGATCACAGTTCAAAGCTGGCCTGGGCAGGAAAGTCCATGAAATTCTTATCTCTAATAAACCACCAGAAAACCGGAAGTGGCGCTATGGCTCAGGTGGTAGGGCATTCACCTTGAGCTGAAGAGCTGAGGGACAGTGCCCAGGCCCAGAGTTCAAACCCCAGTACTGATTTTTAAAAAAAGTTTGGTGTGGGATGAGTATTCTAATAGAGGAAAACAGAAGGGAGTAGTGGCACGTTTGTTTCATTTATTGACTGGGAGGAGTGCATGGCTTGAGTATGACCTATATATGAGCTTTGGAGCAGAAGGGATGAGATTGAAAAAAAATCTAGGGTAGTATATAATCCTGTAACACATTTGAGGAGCAGGAAAACTTGGTAAGTTACAGACCATTTTCAGCCTGTGTATTTGATCAGCTAATATTAACAGTAATCTAATACATCATCCAGTATAGCTTATTTACCAGACTGACTTCATGAAGAAACTAATAGGCACCTCTTTCTTTCCTGAAAACCTCAGCCACTTTGAAGTGTTTGAAAGAGGAGCTCAGCCATTACAAGTTTATCAATCACATATTGTAGCTATTTCAGTTTTAAAAGTAAAGTTGGGCCGGGTGCCGGTGGCTCACACCTGTAATCCTAGTTACTCTGGAGGCTGAGATCTGAGGATTGCGGTTCAAATCCAGCCCGGGCAGGAAAGTCCATGAGACTCTTATCTCCAATAAACCACTAGAAAACCGGAAGTGGCACTGTGGCTCAAGTGGTAGAGTGCTGGCCTTGAGCTGAAGAGCGCAGGGACAGTACCCAAGCCCAGAGTTCAAGCCCCACAACCGACCCCCTCCCCCCCCCCAAAAAAATCAAAGTTGGAAGGATGGAAGTGTGGCTAAGCAATAGAGCACTTACTAGCATGTGTGAGTCTGCATTCTGCATGTATGTGCACGCACATATGCACGCAAAGAAAACACAGTCAAAGTGATTAAGGAGAGGACACACCCTTGTGTGGTGGCCTGCCTGAAAGGGCAGGAAATATCCCCACCACAGATTTAGCTCAGATGTGAAGACTAAGATGCTACTCATACCCCAGGAGACAATGCAAAAAGCACCATCTATGTTGCTGTATACTACTTGGGAAATTCCTGGGGAGGCAGGGAAGGCTTGAGGAGCAAGAAGAGGAGCATGGGCTACCCTGAGGTTAAGGGGTAGAGACAGATCTTAGAGATACAGGGGTCTTAGTCCGATGCTGGTGGCTTACACTTGTAATTCTGGCTACTCAGGAGACTGAGATCTAAGGATTGCAGTTTGAAGCTAGCCTGGGCGGGAAACTTAGGGAGATTTTTATCTCCAATTATCCAGCAGAAAGCTGAAAGTGGAGCTGGGGATCAAGAGACAGAGTGCTAGCCTTGATCAAAACACAGGTAAAGAAGTACACCCAGGCCCTAGCCTCAAAAAAGAAAAACAAAGATACAGAATCTTGTTGGATTTAAACTGCCTTTTGGTATCAAAGGACAGAGAAACAGGATTTCTTTTCAGCCCTGCCAACATATGGGCCAGAAGGGGAGGAGGGAGGACTGAGCTTAAAAGCTAAGTGCTTTAGACACTTTCTTGAAGCTACATATGGAAGCCATTTTTGCAGGGCCTTTACAGGGAGCTAGCAGGAAGAATCTATTTCACCATGACTGTTTTTGTTCTGTGTGCACATGAGTCCCAGATGACTAGGAGAGGTGTCAATTCACTTTGTCCTGTAAACTTATGTGCTGGTCTCATTACCTGCCTGTGCATTGCCAGGTGCTGCCTTCCATTGAGAGCGTGGATGGTTCCGATCCTTTGGCAACGCTGCAGAACCCCATTGCTAGACTGGAGGCAAAAGATGAAGAGGATGAGGATGAAGATGAGGACACTGATGATGAAGAGGAAGAAGATGGTGAAGACACAGATCTGGATGACTGGGAACCAGACCCACCCCGGCCCTTTGACCCCCATGACTTGTGTAAGCCCCTTCCTTCCTTCCTTCCTTCCTTCCTTCCTTCCTTCCTTCCTTCCTTCCTTCCTTCCTTCCTTCCTTCCTTCCTTCCTTCCTTCCTTTGCATCTGTCTTTTCTTTCTTTTCTTCTCTTTTTTTTTTTCTTTGATCAGTCATGGTCTTGAACTCAGGGCCTGGCACTCTCCTTGAGGAGCCACAGATCCACTTCTGGTGGTTTTTTGGAGATCCTGAGATCCTCAGATCTCAACCTACTGAGTAGCTAGGATTACAGGCGTGAGCCACCAGCGCCTATCTGATGTAAGCATTTTCTGTGTCTAAGTATGAACATAGTTCACACACACTGAGACTCTCCTAGTCCTATACAGCACTGCCATGTTCTTTGAGGATGTATTCCCTTCAGTCTTCCAAGTAGCCTGAGAAGGCTAGGACATTCAGGTTTTCTGATTTTATTGAAGAAGGAACTGAAGCCCAGAAAAGTTTAGGCAGCTTGTTTAAGGTCATGGAAGTGTGAATCGGGGATCGACCATTCACTTCTGGGTCTCTGATACCAAACCACTATGGCAAGTTAGCCCAGTACTAAACTGTTCAGCCATTTCAGCTCTAAAGGTTTATCTTTCTTTTTTTTTCTTTTTCTTTTTCTTGTTTTTTTTGGTTCGGTCGTGGGGCCTGAACTCTGGGCCTGGGCTCTGTCCCTCAGCTCTTCAGCTCAAGGCTAGCGCTCTACCACTTGAGCCACAGCGCCACTTCCGGCTTTTTTCTTTCTGCTTATGTGGTGCTGAGGAATCGAACCCAGGGCCTCAAGCATGCAAGGCAAGCACTCTGCCACTGAGTGCTTCCCAGCCCCATCTAAAGGTTTATCTTTCTTAATCCTTTGAAAATGCTTATCCTTAAGTTAGAATGTGTTTGTGACTTTAGCTGAGCATCACTATCCCACAATACTGTGAAATTTGGGAAATTATGTAACCCTTAATCACAATAAAAAATTTGAAAAAAAAATGCTTATCCTTCTAGGAACTCGTGGCTCATGCCTGTAATCTTAGATATTCAGGAGATTGAATTCTGAGGATCACAGTTCAAAGCCAGCCCAGGCATTCTAATTAACCAGCAAAAAGCTGGAAGTACAGGTTTGGCACCAGTGGTAGAACACCAGCCTTGAGTGTAAAAGCCAAGAAAGAGTGGCAGGCCCTGAGTTAAAGCTCTAGTACTGGCACACACACATACACACACACACATCTGCTTACTCTGTCCCAGGGCCTAGTGCTCCACACTTCCTATTGTATTTGATATACTCCATTTATGAGCGTGTTGGCTGAGGTGGTGTTTGTACATTGAGAATCTAGAGTTCAACTCTAGTCTGTCCCCACACTTCATCTTCCATCAGCAAATCATTGTTCCTTTTCATAGATTTTTATGCTTCATGCATTTGAGTGATTGAGGCTATTCATAGAGCCTTGTGGCTTTGTGCTGTTTCTCCTGGGCCTTCTCTGTGTGCTGGTAAAAGCTGTCTGTATGAAGCTGGTATTCAGCCTCATGTCTAATCCCCATCTAACAGAGGTCTTCCTTGTTTCATTCTCCCCCCCCCCCTTGAATTCCAGGCATCTCCTAAGCCAAATGTACTGAAAGCTTCTTTACCTTATAAATATTAACACAAAGTCACTCTCTATTGTTTGAGAATTGTACAGTTGGAAAATACCTAAACCAGGTCATCACATACCCAGAGGGAGTGAAACCTGAAGAGAATGAACTCTGTGTGGCCTGGTCACTTTCTCCTGCATCTCATTGAGTTAGCTAACTTACTGCTGGGAGGGAGGAAGGGAGGGAGTGTGCCTGGTTGGAGCAAACTAAATTCTATAATGAGCTGAAAATTCATGTCCTGTCTGGGCTGGGATATTGTGTCATCCAAAGGAATGAAGAACCAGGGTTGTTAAATTCACTCAGTGTAGCCTCATCAGACAAAACCATTTGTAAACTCATGGACTCTACCCTTTTGAGGAAATTGATTAAACTGTATTGTCTGGGTTTTTTTTTTTTCCTAACAGCTTTATTGAAGTAATTTTCTCATTAGATTTTACAACATGTAGCTTATAAGCACTAATTTTTTAAAATTTTACAGTAGGATTTTGTGCTCACTATTTGAGGTATCAACTAACAGAGAAATAAGTCACAGCTTGCATATTATTTTTGACAAGCAGAAGCAAATTTTGCCTGATTTTAGAGGAAAATGACAGCATTTTTATTGGCCTATGAAAGCTAATGGATTACAATGGAATGAGTAGTGCCTTTGTAGCATTAATTGAATTTTGGCCTGATAACTTAGATTTATTTGCGCGCGCGTGAGTGTGTGTGTGTGTGTGTGTGTGTGTGTGTGTGTGTGTGTGTGTGTGTGTTGGGTGAGAGGTGGGGGAAGTTGTATGTCAGAACTTTTTACCTGAGATCAACTCATGTCAAGGAATTTGACTACTTAAGGGTTTTTTCTTTTGCAGGGTGTGAGGAGTGTAACAATGCCCACTCATCAGTGTGCCCAAAGCATGGGCCCTTGCATCCCATTCCCAACCGGCCTGTGCTCACTCGGGCCAGAGCAAGTCTCCCCCTGGTCCTCTACATAGACAGGTTTCTTGGAGGAGTGTTCTCCAAAAGGCGAATTCCCAAGCGTACCCAGTTTGGCCCTGTGGAGGGACCCCTGGTTAGGGGATCGGAGCTGAAAGACTGTTACATTCACCTAAAGGTAATTGCTGCTTTCTCCATTACTCTTGTTCTGTTCTGTTAAAGCTTTTTTGGGATTACTCATTTTCTTACTGAGTCTCTCTCCCCGACCCCCTACCCCCACCCCCTTTGGTTGTTTTTTTTTGGAGCTTGAACTCAGGGACTGGGTACTGTCTCTAAGCTCTTGTACTACTTTGAGTCAGAGCTCCATTTCTGGTTTCCTGCTGGTTAATTGGAGATAAGAGTCTTATGGACTTTCTTGCTTGGACTGGCTTTGAACCATGATTTTCAGATCTCAGCCTTCTGAGTAGCTAGGATTACAGGCATGAGCCATCAGCACCCGCTGAGTCATATTTCATTGCATAGTGGTTATTTGCTGATAGTTTATTTTCTTTCTTTCTTTCTCTCTCTCTCTCTTTCCTTCCTTCTTTCCTTCCTTCCTTCTTTCCTTCCTTCCTTCCTTCCTTCCTTCCTTCCTTCCTTCCTTCCTTCCTTCCTTCCTTCTTTCTTTCTTTCTTTCTTTTTTTCTTTCTTTCTTTCTTTCTGTCTTCTGGTGGTTTATTGGAGATAAGAGTATCACACTTTTCTGCTTGGACTGGCTTTGAACCACAATCCTCGGATCTCAGCCTCCTGAGTAGCTAGGATTATAGGCGTGAGCCACTGGCACCAGCTTTGGTAGTTTTTCTTTATATGCTTAATTTGTTTTAAATGGAAATTTGCTATCAATAAAATGGAGATGGTAATTTCAGCTTCTTAAGGCATTATCTGAAACATTCTAAGAGCTGTAGTTCTTAGGGGCCATAGTAGTTTTCTAGGAATATCATAATAAAATGACACAGATTTTAAATGGAAAAACTGGAAGGCCAAGATCAAGGTGTTAGGGTTGGTTTCTTCTTGGCCTCTTTTTGGCTTGCAGATGGCTACTTTCTTACTGTGTCCTCATAGGGTCTTTTCTCTGTGTTTGTGTGTCTGCTTTCTTATGCCTTCTCCTTATATGGTCCAGTCACAATGGGCCCACCCTAATGATGTCATGTTAGTCAGCTCTTTAAAGTTCTTGTCTCCAAATATAGTCACAGTCTGATGTATTGGGAGTTACAGGTACTGAGAATTTCAAGTGCACTCATGTTCTGAGGTACTGGGGGTTGTAGGACTCCCACATGATTTTGAGGGGGAGGATTCACAAATTTAGCCTACAACTGACACTAATAGTTTTTATCTTTTTTCATTTGCTTTTTATAAATTACTTTGACTGGAATACAAGGATAATTATGTACACATATGTAATCAGTTGTGTGCCCGTAATGTTTGTAAGAAACCACTTTTCAATTCTGAAACACATCTATCCTCCTGATTTTTTTTTTTGTTTGTTTAAGAATAGCACACTATAGCTGGATGCCGGTGGCTCATGCCTGTAACTCTTGCTACTCAGGAGGCTGAGATCCGAGGATTATGGTACAAAGCCAGCCTTGGCAGGAAAGTCCATCATGGGGCCTGAAATCTGGGCCTGGGCGCTGTCCCTCAGCTCTTCAGCTTAAGGCTAGTTCTCTACCACTTGAGCCACAGCATCACTTCTGGCTTTTTCTTCTTATGTGGAGCTGAGGAATAGAAACCAGGGCCTCATGCATGCAAGGCAAGCGCTCTACCACTGAGCCACCTTCCCAGCCCCATAAGACTCTTATCTCCAATCTTATCACCAGAAAAAAGTGGCACTGTGGTTCAAGTGGTAGAGTGCTTGCCTTGAGCTAAAGTGCTCAGGGACAAAACCCAGGCTAGAGTTCAAGCCCCACCACTGATGACCAAAAAAAAAAAAGAAAGAAAGAAAGAAAAGAAAAAGAAACATTGTATGTTGATGTCTATGTATTTTGATCTCCAATGTTCACATTTGATTCTTTTGCTTTTCTGTCTGTTCTTGCAATAGATACTTTGGAGAAAGCTAAGAAATCACAGCAAGAGGGGGTGAATACTTGAATTTTTTTTTTTTAATGCCAGTCTGGGCTTGAACTCAATGCCTGGGCACTGTCCCTGAGCTTTTTTGCTCAAGGGTAGCACTGTGCCAGTTGAGCCACAGCTCCACTTCTGACTTTTTGGTAGTTATTGGAGATAAGAGTCTCCAGCCAGCCTACCTGGGCTGGCTTTGACTGTGAGCCACCAGTATCCACAAAAAATGTAACTTTATGAAGAGAAACATCTGTCTCTGGGCTGCATGGATATAGTTGATTCTGGAAAGGAGGCAGCATATGATGAGTTGGAGAATATTATGCTTGCATTCCCTAGCGTATTTAGAGCATTTTTTGTTGTTTTAGCATTAACCTAAATCATGCAGTTAAATTGTGTAGATTTTTCCTGATAATTCTCCTACAGGTGTACTCTCCTTTATGTTTGGCAAGTAACAATTCTAGTACCTTTCCAGGTATAAAGAAAAAACTCAGGTTGAAAGATTAATTTAAGATCTATCTATCTATATCTATAAAACGTGTCATACTGAAGAGTTTGTAGCTTTTTACCTTCTCTTTGGATGCAGGTTTCTCTTGATAAAGGGGACAGAAAAGACAGAGATTTGCATGAAGACCTCTGGTTTGAGTTGTCTGATGAGACCCTTTGTAACTGGATGATGTTTGTACGTCCAGCCCAGAACCACCTTGAGCAGAACCTGGTGGCTTACCAATATGGCCACCATGTGTATTATACAACCATAAAGAACGTGGAGCCCAAGCAGGAACTAAAGGTACAGTGCTAGATCCACAGTGCCATCTGCTAAGAACTGATGGGTTAGGGCTTCAATATAATGCTTTCCTGGTAACTCACTTTATTTTCTGAGCTTTCCTTCAGGGGATTGGTTCCAGGACAATTCCCCCTCCCCACCCCCCCTACCCCCCACAGACTGACACCAGAATCCATGGATGCTCAAGTCCTTTATATAAAGTATTGGAGTCTTTGCATTAAATCTTTTCACATCCTTCCATATATTTTAAATCATCTCTAAATCATTTCTAGATTGATACCTACCATAATACAAATGTTGTTTTTGTTTTTGTTTTTTTTGGGGTCTGGTCATGGGCCTGAACTCTGGGCCTGGGCGCTGTCCCTCAGCTCTTCAGCTCAAGGCTAGTGCTCTACCACTTGAGCCACAGCGCCACTTCCGGCTTTTTTTTTCTGTTTATGTGGTGCTGAGGTATCGAACCCAGGGCCTCATGCATGCAAGGCAAGCGCTCTACCACTGAGCCACCTTCCCAGCCCCAAATGGTTTTTTTTTTTTCAATTAAAAAATTGTTACCATAAAGGTTTTATACAGCGAGGTTATAGTTACATAAGATTACATAAGCTAACACACACACACACACACACACACACACACACACACACACACACACACACACACACACACACACACACACACACACACACACACACACACACACACACACACACGGTTTGTTTGTTTTTTTTGGGTCCAGTCATGGGGCCTGAACTCTGGGCCTGGGCACTGTCCCTCAGCTCTTCAGCTCAAGGCTAGCGCTCTACCACTTGAGCCACAGCGCCACTTCCGGCTTTTTTCTTTTTGCTTATGTGGTGCTGAGGAATCGAACCCAGGGCCTCATGCATGCAAGGCAAGCGCTCTACCACTGAGCCACCTTCCTAGCCCCATATATATGTTTTTTATTGTAAAAATACTGTACAGAGGAGTTACAGTTACTTGAGAAAGATAATGAGTACATTTCCTATTGAACATTGTTACCTCCTCCTTTGTTTTTCCCCTGCCATCCCTTCTCTCCTCACCTCCACAACTCTTCCCTCCCAACCCCCCAAAGTTGTAAAGTTTGTTTTCAACATAGTGTCTTGTACATCTCATTGTTACAATGGGTCAACCTGTATCCTTATTTCAGCATTTTGTTATTTCCCTTCCCCTCTCCAAATTAGAAAAATGTATATACAAGATGCAGAGCACCAGAATCAAATACAGTGAAAACAAGGTATTTTATATGGTAGGGGAAAAACACACAAAAGAAACAAAAAACACACATAGTACATTATAAATACATTAAAAACAATAGCAAGAAAGAAAAAACTACTTGTGTCCCTATCTTGGGGTTCATTTCACTTAACATCATCTTATGTGGTGATATGTACATAGCTTTTGACCTTTTCTGCTTGTCATAGACATATACTAGTTATTGCAAATAAGGGAAACCATGGGACCTATGTTTCTTTGGACCTGGCTTACTTCAGTTAATATAATTTTTTCCAAGTCTTTCCATTTCCTAACAAATGGGGTGAGGTATCCATACACTTGTTTTTAGACAATGTCGCCCCTTTCCTTAGTCTACATTTTTTTTTGTCAGTCATGGGGCTTGAACTTGGGACCTGGGCACTCTCCCTGAGCTCTTTTGCTCAAGGTTAGTCCTCTACCATTTTGAGCCATGTAGTCACTTTTGGTTTTCTGGTGGTTAGTTTGGAGATAAGAGTCTCATGGACTTTCCTGCCCGTACTAGCTTTAAACTGCAATCCTCAGATCTCAGCCTCCTAAATAGCTAGGATTACAGGTGGGAGCCACCAGTTCCTGGCTTCTACAAATGTGTTTTAAGTAGTTGTTACACTGAGTTGTTTAGAGAATAATAACAAAGTCTGTATGTATTTTTTTTCACAATTTTTTTTCACAAATGTTTTCAATCCATGGTTGGTGGAATTCAGAGATACGGAGGACTGACTATATTCTACATTGTTGTACACTTAAAACAATCCTGCAGATAAAACAGAATGAAAAGTGCTCATGAAGGGCCTATAGGAAGACTTCAAAGGTTAGGAATCATTGTTTGGGGGAGCAGACTAGTGTTTGTGATGGGTGGCTAAATATGGTGCCACTTAGCATGCGGAGAAAGAATTGGCGAAACAAGGTTTTTATAAAGTGAAATTTAGGTATGGGCAAGATCCCTTTTCTTTACCTCAATATTTCATTCTATTCAAAAAGTTCTATATTCAGACTAATTTCTTGAATATAGATTTTTTTTTTCTGTCATGAGGCATGAACTTAATCAGGGCTTAGGTGCTGTCCTAGAGCTGTTTCACTCAAGAATAACTAGCGTTCTTCCACTTTGAGCCTTCAGCACCACTGACAGTTTTCTGGTGGTTAATGAGAGATAAAAGTCTTACAGACTTCCTGTCTGGGCACCTCCAATACCGCTTCCTGAGTAGCAGGATTACAGGCATGACCCACCAGCACCTGGCCAGGAATACATATATATATATATATATATATATATATATATATAGATGGATATAGATATAATATATATATAATATATATATATATATATTGTCCATTTTGGGGGTTTGAACTCTGGACTTGGGCACTGTCCCTCAGCTCTTCAGCTCAAGGCAAGCACCCCTTCCGGTTTTCTAATGGTTTATTGGAGATAATAGTCTCACAGACTTTCCTGCCCAGGCTGACTCTGAACTGTTATCTTCAGATTTCAGCTCCTGAGTAATTAGAATTACAGGCGTGATCCACCGGTGCCCATCCAGGAATATATATTATGGGGATAACTCTATGAGAATTTGTTTAAATATAACCATTAATGACATGCTTACATTCTGCTATGTTTCTAAGTGAAAAGTCTTTTTCCCCCCTTGTGCTGGGGTCAGAATCAGAGGTTTGTATATGATAGGCAAACAGTCTACCTCTGAGCTTTACCCCCAACCCAAGATTCCATTGTTTTGAAATAAAGCCTCACTCTATAGCCCAGGTGAATCCCAAATCAATCTCCTGAGTGCTGATATTACAGGCATGCCTCATTTAAATTAAAAAACAAACTGAAGCAAATTATTATTCTTAATTGTGAGGAAATTATTTTCTCTCCTCTTTTTGTGTGTGTTTGTATGTGTGTGTATGAATTTTCTTTTTTTTTCCCTCAAGGCTAGTACTCTACCATTTGAGCCGCAGTGCCACTTCTGGCTTTTTCTGAGTAGTTTATTAGAAGTAAGAGTCTCACAGACTTTTCTGCCCAGGCTGGCTTTGAACTGTGATCCACAAATCTGAGCTTCTTGAGAAGCTAGTGTTATAGGTGTGAGCTACTGGCATCTGGCTCCCAATTCCTTTTTTAAGCCAATCAGTAGGACTGTAGAGTACAGAACAGAAACACCTAAGTAAAAGCAAAATAGCTCAGTATAGAAGGCACTAAAACAACAGATAAAAAAGAAGCAATAATACCAAGGAAGTATTTATAGGTTAAAAGGTTTAAATATGAAAACAGAGTCTTATATCTCTAGCATTACTGCACCCAGATGGACATATGAACAATTATCAGAAATAGACTTTATTTGGAGGAAGCCAATAGGAAACAAATGTTTCCTAATTTCTCAATGCCAGTAAATTTTAAAATTCTTGAAGGGCTGGAGATGTAGCTCAACAGTTGAGTGCTTGCCTAGAATGTGTTAAGCTCTGGGTTGGAGGCCAGCACTACAAACCAACCAGTCAACCAACCAACCCTGAAAGCAACCATGAATTGTTGTTTTTATTCATTGGAATTAGTAATAATGAATAGAGGTAGTACAGTAAATGTGAAAGATTTATCTACATACACACACACACACACACACATATATATAAGAATATATGTATGTGTGTATATATATACATACATATATATATGCATATCTATATCTATATCTATCTATCTATATATATAATGTTCTTGGTCCAGTAGTAAGCCAAATTCTTTAGTCTGGGAACCAACTATACTTATAAACAGAATAGAGCTAAATATTAGAAACATTAGAATGTTTCAGACACAAGGAAAAAACAGACTGTTATCCTATGATCAGGGAAATTAGCTTCTTGAGGGGACGTGAAGAGAAAAATGTAAACCATCAAATAATGCCAAATTGGGTCATGGCACAGAAACAGCGTGTTTTAGGGACTGATTTAGGTGTGCCAGCCAAGGAAAGTCTTGCTGAAAAGGTAAGAGACTGAGGACTTTGAAATAGACAAGGATCAGCTCTGCAGAGGTCACTGTAAGAACAAGAGGAAGAAACATAGTGTTCTTGGGGGTGAACAACAAGGTAGCTTTTTGGGATGGGAAAGCACTGAGCATGTTTGGGAAGCTGAGAGCAGACCCTCTTGACCCAAGGGTGGGTCCAGTGACAAGGGCTAAGGTCACTTAGCAAGGTAGGGAAGGTCACAGAGCCCTTCAGGAATCATCAGTGAGCATTTCAGATTCATTATAAAATTAAAGACCATTTCTAGCCCTATAAAATTTGTCTGTGTTGTAATAAGATAACTGATGGGACTTGCAATGAAAAATGAGTTAGCTAGTTAGCAGATTAGGTGGCGGGTGTCAGGTAAGGATACCATCTTTTCTAAAGGATAATAGAAATAAACAAAAGTCAGTGAGCCCTTTTAGGTTTCAGGTCTGAGCACCTTGTGGAAAAATTTGAGATGGAGAAGACTAGTAGAAATGAGGGCATCTTAGGTCTGGGAAGGTGGCTCAGTGGTAGAGTGGTTGCTTTGCATGCATGAGGCCCTGGGTTTGATTCCTCAGCACCACATAAGAAGAAAAAGCCAGAAGTGGTGCTGTGGCTCAAGTGGTAGAGGGCTAGCCTTGAGCTGAAGAGCTGAGGGACAGCGCACAGGTCCTGAATTCAGGCCCCATGACGGACCAGAAAAGAAAAAAAAGAAATGAGGGCACCAATTGGGAAGCACTGAGAATTCCAATCTGCACATGGTAAGATGGAGTTATAGGTAAGATAGCCAACATATCAGATGAGTAGTAGAATACATTTGTAGAGACAGAGAAGAGGCCTCTAGAGATATTGATGTAGGTGTCATTAGCACAGAATTGGTTGGAAAGGAAGGGATATGATTACTGGAGAGAAAATATACAGGCTCAGGATTTAGGCTTTGAGGAGCACCAGTATTTCAATGTTAGGTAGAAGCTGGGCACTTGTGGCTCATGCTTGTAATCTTAGCTGTTCAGGAGACTGAGAACTGAAAATTGTGGTTCAAAGCCAGCCTGGGCAGCAGAAGCCATGAGATTCTTATCTCTAATTAACCTCCAAAAAGCTGGTAGTGGAACTGTGACTCAAGTGGGAGAATGCTAGCTTTTTGCAAAAAAGCTAAGTGACAGTGCCCAAGCCCTGAGTTCAAGCCCTAGTAATAACACACACACGTACACTCACATGTACACACACACACACACACACACACACACACACACGCTGAAGTTAGGTAGAGAAGAGGAGTGGGCTAAGGAAGAATGAGCAGAACCAGGTGAAGAAGAGGGAAGAAGAGCCTTGGGAGGAAGCAGGAACATTCAATACATCCCATTCATTGGTGACAATTCTGGTGGTTGGTTGGTGTCCACTACTATGATTATTACAGCTATAAAAACACCTGTATTTAAGTACAGAAAAAAAATCAGAAGAGATTGCTTTATTTACATAAATAGACTATGAATATCATTCCTGTGAACTTGTTCCAATAATAAGAACAACCTTTTAAAAAGGAAGAAGGGAAAACAGGCAACATGTCTTGACAAATGGACTCCCTGATGGATGGCATGCCAGATGGATATTGTGGTGGGAAGCTCCAGTGAGATTTTGTTTTCAGAGGATTGTGGAAAAGCCTGAATTGTTTCCTGTAAGCAGGGGGAAATAACTTAAGCACGCAAAGCACATCTGGTGATGTCCTTTAGTTCTTGATGATGTCCTTGGGTTTTGTAGGTGTGGTATGCTGCATCCTATGCAGAGTTCGTGAACCAGAAAATTCATGACATTTCTGAGGAAGAAAGAAAAGGTGATTGGACTTTTATTATGTGAATTCTAAGTTGTGAATATTACATCTTTATGCAACCTCTGATTTCTCCATCTCCATGTATTTTATAAGGCATCTTATAGGCTTTTCAGAGCTGTGTACCTCCATCTAATTCTAGGGTCCAATTTCAATGACATATTTACATTTCATTCATGAGTTCTGGAAAATAGTATTTAATATAATGAAAACCTTCAGATACCAAATTAGAACCTTAGTGTCAGGATGCTTCCTATCTAGCCCTGATCATCCCTAGGGACATAGCAATACAGTACTGACTTTGTTTTTAATGTAAATGTGACTGATATGTAATCTGCATACTGAGAGATATGCATACATTAAATATAGAGCTTGATAAATTCTCACAGTGAACACACCTAAGGAAATTGTGAAGTATAATTACTCTCCTGACTTCCTAGTACCACACGAGTTGCTTGTTGGTGAACTATGCATAAATATAACGACATAGTACATTCACTTTTTTGTGTCTGGGCATCTTGCTCAACATTATATTTTTGAGATACATACATATTGTATATAATTACACTTAAATATTATATGATAGTATTATATATCATACATAATATATATTTAAAATATAATTTGTTCATTCTCACTGTGCTTTGTCATTTTGCTGTATGAATGTATAACAATTCATTTATCAGTTTTACCATGGATTTGGTGTTGTAAAGTATAATTTTGATGGTAACTACTGCAAATTAGGTTAGATTTCACAGGGTAAGGTCCGGTCTTTCACACGACTATCCTTACTTCAGATACCAGCTGGAGCTCTGTTGTGGGGCCTGAACCCTGGGCCTGGGCACTGTCCCTCAGCTCTTCAGCTTAAAGCTAGCACTCTACCACTTGAGCTACAGTGCCACTTCCGGCTTTCCAGGGCCTCATGCATGAAAGGCAAGCACTCTACTACTGAGCCACCTTCCCAACCCCTAGCTCATGCTTCTCAAGCCAGTCACAATTCTGACCAACTGTCTACAATTTAGGGGGTTCCAAGTACCTCCCTGAGATGATTCAAAAGACTCTTTAACAAGAAAGTAATGCAAATAGTGGATAATGTCTACAGTGGTGAGAGAAAAGGCAACTGGATATTGCTAGTGCCTGTTGATCATCAGCCATTATGATTTCTCTCCTGTGATTGTAGTTCTTCGAGAACAAGAGAAGAATTGGCCCTGCTATGAATGTAACCGTCGCTTTATAAGCTCAGAGCAGTTGCAACAGCACCTCAATTCTCATGATGAGAAACTAGACGTGTTTAGCAGGTATGTATGAGAGGGGGAAAGGCTCATGAATTTGGTTCTTAAAGATTATATGTATCTGTAAACCAAAGAATGTTTCTACTTGTGCATATTCTCAAGTTTTGTGTGTGTGTGTGTGTAGACAGGTAACCAAGTAGTTATTTTGATGTAGAGCTACTAAAGGGTATGTCTTATCTGTCATTTCCTTTCCCCTCTTTATTTATTCCTTTTTCAGTGTATCTCATACCCTTTCACCTTGGTGAAATCTCCTGTAACTGGAGAGTATGAAATAGGAATTGTTGAGGTAGCATATGTCTTTGCATAATTTATATCTCTTGATTTTTAGATTTTTTCCAGCAAAATGATTTCTTTATAAAGTTAAACTAAAAGCTTTAATTCTACTATATAAAAAAGACAAATGAAGCCCAGGCACCTGTGATCCTAGCTACTTAGAAGACTGAAATCTGAGGATCATGGTTTCATAGTTCAAAGCAAGCCCAAGGAAGAAAGTCTGTAAAACTTTTATCTCCACTAAACTGTCAAAAAAAAAAAAAAAAGCTGGAAGTAGAGTTGTTCAAATGGTAGAGTGCTAGCCTTGAGCAAAAGAAGCTCAGGGATGGCACCTGGACCCTGAGTTCAAGCCCCAGACTGGCATCAAAAAACAAAACAAATGGTAAATGAAAATTTTATAGGATGTTGAGGGGGAAGATAAGGAGGGACTTAAGATGATGGAAAAAAATTGGATTTTAGTATGCAAAACCTTTAGTGGGTTCTGATCAGGGAATATTGTAATGCCAGTTGTATTTTAAAAAGGTCATTCTGTATGAAAATGAACACATCAGATTAGTTTATATTAGAATAAAAGCGAAGGCAGAGAGTTCAGTTAGAAGCTAGTACAGGATGAGGATTATTTAGAATAGTGATCCCAACAGGACTGAAATAGAATTGTCTATCTACATTTGTTGAGTTTGGAAAATTAGGTGATGGTATAAATCCTCACTTAGAAAAACAGAAAGGAAGTTCAGTGCTGGTGGTTTACCCCTATAGTGCTAGCTATTCAGGAGGCTGAGATCTGAGAACCACAGTTCAAAGCCTGGCGAGGCAGGAAAGTTCATGAGACTCTTATCTACATTCAGCTCCCAGGAAACTGGAAGTGGCTCAAAGTGGTAGAAAGCTAGCCTTGAGCAGTAAAGCTCAGGGACAGTGCCTAGGCCCTGAGTTCAAGTCACACGATTGTAAACAAAATGAAACAGGAAAGAATGATCCAGGGATGTACCATACATGAAATGAAAGTAAGACCCCAAGCAAGGCTGTTTTGTTCTTTGGCTGTATCCAGCTGTGAGGGTGCTGCAGTTTTACCTAGCAAATTCAGCACAATGAGAATAAAGATGCCGCAGTGGTGGGGTGGGAATCTAGAGCAAATAGCATGATTACAGTGAGTGTGGCCTTGGAAGTCTTGCATTGGTGGCAGAAGAAGGAAGGATTGAATTAAGGGTGCTAGTAAGGCTGAAAGGTGGTTGTTGTGGTTTCGAGGGATCAAATTGAGGGCCATGTGTGTTGTGGGCAGGGTCTCCAGCCCAGAATATATTCCAGGGCCTTGGAATCAGTTTTAATAAGGGATTTTTGCATTCTAGTAATTCATTAAAAGGGTTTTATAATTATTTGGTGTTTAATAGGCATTTTATGGGACATTTGAATTAGAAATTTCTTGTGACTTTCCAGAAGGTTATGGTAAAATGAGGAAGTTCTTTGAATGTAGCTATGTTTCTTGAAAGGAATATGAGCCAGACACTGGTGGCTCACACCTGTAATCCTAGCTGCTAAGGAGGCTGAGATCTGAACTATGGCTCAAAGCCAGCCCTGGCAGAAAAGTCCCTGTGAGATTCTTATTTCTAATTAGCCACTCAAAAACCAGAAGTGGCTCAAGTGATAGAGTGCTAGCCTTGAGCACAGAGGCTCAGGGACAATGCCTGGGCCCTGAGTTCAAGCCCCACAACCAACAAAAGAAAGAGAAAAAAAGAAAGAAAGGAAGGAAGAAAGGAAGAAAAAGAAAAAAGAAAGAAAGAGAAAGAGAGAAAGGGAAGGGAAGGGAGGAAGGAAGGAAGCAAGCAAGCAAGCTGGGGGCCGGTGGCTTCCACCTGTAATCCTAGCTACTCAGGAGGCTGAGATCTGAGGATCGTGGTTCAAAGCCAGCCCAGGCAGGAAAGTTTGTGAGACTCTTATCTCCAACAGGCCACCAGAAAACTAGAAATGGCACTGTGTCTCAAGTGGTAAAGCACTAGCCTTGAGCTGAAGAGCTGAGGGACAGCACCCAGGCCCAGAGTTCAAGCCCCACAACTGACGAGGAGAAGAGAGAGAGAGAGAGAGAGAGAGAGAGAGAGAGAGAGAGAGAGAGAGAGAGAGAGAGAGAGAGAGAGAAACTGAGAAGAGAGAGAGGGGGGCAAGGAGGGAGAAGAAGGGAGAGAGGAAGGGAAGGAAGGAAGAAAGGAAGGGAAGGAGGGAGGGAGGAATGAAGGAAGGAAGGAAGATGAGCTGAGGCCACTGGAAAAGAGAAAGAATGGAATCTAGTCTCAGTTGATCCTCAGAAAAATACTACTCATGCCTATAATCCTAGCTACACAAGAGGCTGAGATCTGAGGATCATGGTTCAAAGCCAGCTCTGGCAGGAAATTCCCTGTGAGACTCTTATCTCCAACTAACCACTGGAAAACTGGAAGTGGTGCTGTGGCTCAAGTGGTAGCATACTAGCCTTGAGCTGAAGAACTCAGGGACAGTTTCCAGGTCCAGAGTTCAAGCCCCACAACTGACTCCCCCCCCACCAAAAAAAAAAAAAAATATATATATATATATATATATATATATATATATATATATATACATACTACTGACTTACCATATTCTGTCCTGTTTGCATTTCTCACCTCCTTCCAGAAGCAAACTGTTGTTTTTGATTTGTGTTTTTATAACTTTTTCTAAATAATTTTAAGATATCTCTTTGCCCTGTAGAGAGGGCAAAGCTGAGAAATTGAGAAAGCTTCTAGTAATAAAACAATTGTTTCCACTGGAGAAAAGAGCCAGGGAAAGTAAAGTGAGAGAAACTCAAAATCTGGGGTTAGTAAAGATTATTGAAGGGAACTGTTGTGGCATATGATGTAATTATGACTATTCATAACTCAATCTCTTGTCCCCAGAACAAGAGGCAGAGGAAGGGGACGAGGCAAAAGGCGATTTGGCCCTGGTCGACGACCAGGGCGTCCTCCAAAATTTATCCGTTTGGAACTAACCAGCGAGAATGGGGAAAAGAGTGATGATGGGACCCAGGTACTGGGGGATGGGAAGATCTCCTTCTGCTGTGCTTGTTCACAGTGCCCAACTAGATTAAATACCACATCCGCTCAACTTAAATACACACACTGCTGTCATATCATGGCTTTGCCACTTGTTAGCCAAAGTACAGTTGGAGAAGACGAAAAAGAATGTATTTTCCAATGAAAAGCTAACTTTGCAGCCCTACAAATTTGAAATTGATTAGAGATATTAGAGACTTTGTTTAATTAATTTAAGCCATTAAAATGATAGATATTCTAGAAGAGTTTTATACTCCTCTGGTTTGGTAGTTGGGAATGTCTCATTGTTTTTAAATTCTGTGCTTCTTTCTTTTTTTTCTTTTTTCTTTTTTCTTTTGGTCCAGTTGTGGGCCTCAACTCTGGGCCTGGGTGCTATCCCTCAGCTCTTCAGCTCAAGGCTAGCGCTCTACCACTTGAGCCACGGCGCCACTTCTGGCTTTTTTCTTTTTGCTTATGTGGTGCTGAGGAATCAAACCCAGGACCTCATGCATGCAAGGCAAGCGCTCTACCACTGAGCCACCTTCCCAGCCCCTCTGTGCTTATTTCTATAATTAACTTTTCCAGTGGGGAATATTTTTTCTCAACATCCTTGTGCTAGTTAAAAAAAAAAAAACCCAAAAACCCATAAGCTGGGCTCATGTTTGTGGTGGTCACGCCTGTAATCCTAGCTGTTTAGGAGGCTGAGATCTGGGGATCACAGCTTAAAGTCAGCCCCTGGTAGGAAAGTTCATAAGACTCTTATCTCCACTGATAACCAGAAAACTAGAAGTGGAGCTGTGTGGTAGAATACTAGCCCTGAGTAGAAAAGCTCAGGGACAGCGCCCAGGCTCTGAGTTCAAGCCTACAGCCAATAGCAACAACAGCAAAAACCACATGTTCCATACGGGTTGTTCGTGCCTATAATCTTAGCTACTTCAGAATGCTGACATCTGAGGATCTCAGTTTGAAGTCAGCCAGGACAAAAATGTCTGTGAGATGGGCTGGGAAGGTGGCTCAGCGGTAGAGCACTTGTCTTGCATGCATGAGGCCCTGGGTTCGATTCCTCAGCACCACATAAGCAAAAAGAAAAAAGCCGGAAGTGGGCTGTGGCTCAAACGGTAGAGATAGCCTTGAGCTGAAGAGCTGAGGGACAGCGCCCAGGCCCAAAGTTCAGGCCCCATGACTGGACCCAAAAAAAAAAAAATGTCTGTGAGACTCATCTCCAATTTATCACCAAAAACTTGGTAGTATAGATGTGGCTCAAGTGGTAGAGCACCAGCCTTGAGCGAAAAAGCTAAGGTAGAGCATGTCCAGGCCCTAGGGTTAAGCCCCTAGTACTGGCAAAAACAACCAACAAAAAGACAAAACCATAGCTGCACATAGTGACACAGCCCTTAGGCCCAGCTACTTCAGAGGCAGAAGGATAACATGAACAGAGTTTGGGAGCCACCTGGTCAATACAATAAGACCCTAAGTGTTAAAAAAAAAAAAAAGTCCACAATTCTAAATCTAAGCCCATATTTCTACTATTGATCTCCATTTAAGTAGGAAAGTAATTCATGGTTATTTTAAATTGCAGGACTTGCTGCATTTTTCCACGAAGGAACAATTTGATGAAGCTGAACCAGCTGCTCTGAATGGGCTAGATCAGCCAGAACAGACCACTATCCCAATACCTCAGCTGCCACAGGAAACCCCGGCTTCTCTGGAGCATGAACCAGAAACTCACACTCTACATCTGCAGCCACAGCACGAGGAGAGTGTGGTGCCTACCCAGACCACTTTGACAGCTGATGACATGCGCAGGGCCAAACGCATCAGAGTAAGTGGGCAGGCATGTCCCCTATCCCCAGAGGATCACTTCCTCCCCTAGGCTGTGTTTTTGGTGCGTTGTGTTCCAGTCTATTTACCATTCACTTTGAAATGTTGCATTTACTCTATCACATGTTCAGGCTTGTTATTCTGCAAAAAAAAAAAAAGTCTTTACTATTTCTGAGTCTTTGTCCTATGGCTGACTGGCATGGCTGGTCTTAGATTCAATCAATGTAGTATTAACACATGGGAGCCTGGATTTTGGAGTTCCTCGACCATAATATGTAAAATAGCCCAAATCACTAGCTCTCCATATTCCTTAGTTTACAGGTTAGAAAGAAGTAGAGAAATCCATGTTTCTTTTTTTTGGGGGGGGGGGGTGGGTTGTGGGGCTTGAACTCGGACTGAGCACTGTCCTGGGCCTTGAGTTCTTCAGCTCAAGGTTAGTGCTCTACCACTTGAGCTACAGCGCCACTTCCAGTTTTCTGGTGGTTTATTGGGGATAAGAGTTTCACAGACTTTCCTGCCAGGGCTGGCTTTGAACCACGATCCTCAGATCTCAGCCTACTGAGTAACTAGGATTACAGGTGTGAGCCACCAGCGCACGGCTGTTTCATTATATTTTATTTAATTACTTTTATTTATTTTGACTGTTTGGTGATGCGAATTCAATCTAGGGCCTTGCACATGCTTGCTAAGCAGGCACTCTGATGCTGAGCTATACCTTTAGCCCTATTTGTTTGTGCGTGTGCGTGCGTGTGTGGGTGTATACAATGCACACGCACATGCACAAGCAGCCCCTCTCTCTGCAAATATCAGCCTGTGTACATTTGTGTGTGTGTGTGTGTATACATATATATATATTCTTTTTTTTTTTGAGGTTCAGGGGATTGAACTCAGGGCTTTAGGCATGCTAAACAAGTGCTCTACCACTGAGCTACACCCCCAGTTCTAATTATTTATATTCTTTTTTTGTTGTTGTTGGTTGTGGGGCTTGAATTCAGATTCTGGGCTCTCTGTCCCTGAGCCTGTTTGTGTTCAAGGCTTGTACTCTACTACTTGAGTCACAATGCCGCTTCCAGTTTTTGAGTGGTTAATTGGAAAGTGTCTCACAGGGACTTTTCTGCCCAAGCTTTTTCAAACCATGATCCTTCAGATCTCAGCCTCCTGAGTACCTAGGATTATAGGCGAGAGCCACCAGTGCCTGGTTAATTGTTTATATTCTAAATCAGGCTAATCTCTGTCTAATCATAGCCCTAAAGTTAATTATAGGTAACTAAATTTAGTTATCTACGTTTGCAAGGGGGTATTGGCAGTGTCACTACTCAATCATTGCAAAGGGACCTGTGTCCAAGTCAATATGACAGGAACAGTGCATACACCTGGGAACAGTGCACACACCTTGGGACACTGAAGTAAAGCTGTATGTTCAGGTGCTGGTGGAGGTCTCACTTCTGGGGTCTGTGTCTTGGCTTTAGATTTGCAGATCTTCCATGACTTTCAATGAAGACAGGTCTTTCTCTTCTTTTCTCTTGGGTAGCAGTTGAGTATGAGTTAGGAACGCATGTGGAGAACAATATGTTGTCTTAAGACATCAGTGATAACAAAAAACTAAAGATATAAAACCCATGTTTTTGGCAACTGATGATAAAAAGACTTATTGGTCTGGACTTGTCGGTAGGAGAGATATCTTGTATAACTTCCCAGGCTTTATAGTTTCTAGATGGATGAGTGTTTTAACTTGGGGTTTTGTGGTTTTGTGGGAGTTTTTTTTGGTCTTTGTTTTTCCTTTTCTTTCTTTCTTTCTTTTCTTTCTTTCTTTCTTTCTTTCTTTCTTTCTTTCTTTCTTTCTTTCTTTCTTTCTTTCTTTCTTTCTTCCTTCCTTTCTTTCTTTCTTTCTCTTTCTTTCTCTCTCTCTCTCTCTCTCCTTCCTTCCTTCCTTCCTTCCTTCCTTCCTTCCTTCCTTCCTTCCTTCCTTCCTTCCTTCCTTCCTTCCTTCCTTTTTTTCTTTTTTTTTGGTCAGTCATAGGGCTTGAACTCTGGGCCCTGGGTGCTGTCCCTCAGCTCTTCACCTCAAGGCTAGTGCTCTCCCACTTGAGCTTCAGTGCCACTTCCGGGTTTCTGGTGGTTTATTGGAGATAAGAGTCTCACTGACTTTCCTGCCTGGGCTGGCTTTGAACCACAATCCTCAGATCTCAGCCTCCTGAGTTGCCAGGATTATAGGCGTGAGCCACCGGCACCCAGCTTGTTTTTCATTTTTGTGTTTTAAAGATGCTAAGTTACACCATATTCAGGGTGGGCTGGGTCAGTAGGAACCACTGCACGGGGTCTTGCTTTGGGCAAGAGAGATTGGATCAACTTTCTCCTTTGATCTCTTTATTTGCCTGTAGGCTAGAAGGGACCTTGAAAAATAATATAGTCCCTGTCTTCATGTAAACAGACATTTAAACCTTAATTACCACATGACAGTTTTGAAGGACTCTAGGAACTCTTGAGTTCTTAGAGCCCTGTAATTGAAATACATGCAACTTTTGAATTGAAATAATTATAATTGGAATAATTATAATTAAAATACTTGCAATGTTTTCAATCTATGGTCTTTCAAGGATATGTAAAAATAAATAAATATAGGCCAGAAAAGCAAATAGCTGTGAACTCTATCTTCCTATCCATTATTCTTCTTTGTTTTCCTTTCAGTCTCTTGTCCAGTTACTGTCTTTTCTTTTTTGGCCATCTGATATTTTACTAAGTCAGAGAAGTGCTTGCTAGATTTAATTTTTTTTTTTTTTTTTGTCGGTCATGGGGGCTGAACTCTGGGCCTGGGTGCTGTTCCTGAGCTCTTCAGCTGAAGGCAAGCGCTCTACCAACTTGAGCCACAGCGCCACTTCCGGCTTTTTCTCCTTATGTGGTGCTGAGGAATCAAACCCAGGGCCTTATGCCTGCAAAGCAAGTACTGTACCACTGAGCCACCTTCCCAGCCCCTGGATTTGATTTTTATTTTGACGGAAAAAAATAAAACTCACATGTGTATTGCAACTGTGTGTGTTCAAGCATAGACTAGTTGTTCGTATACTTATATTCTTCTGAAGGAGATAGGGTACTGATTTCAGTACAAGGTTCCTTGTGTCAAAGTAAAACCACACGTGTGACTTTTAGATGCTAGTATTGGTTGAGCTCTCTTGCTTTTTCCACTCACACATTCTAAAAAAGTAGGGCTCTGTATTTTTTTTCATCTTTTTTTAAATCCAGAGTGGTAATGACCAACTGAAGGGAAGTCTTCCAAAATTGGTAATGTAACTATTTTTCTCTCCTCTAATGCTGCCTGCTCAGTTGGAGCTGCAGGTAGGTTTGTTTCCTGTGTTTCACATAACAGAATGTCATTTACGTGTTTGCCTGACCTGCTGTTCTTTACAACCTGTACTTAGAAAATCCTGGTAGAAACCACAGTTTGGTTGCTCTACTAAATGTAAATTAATAAGTAGTGATCATTTATTTCCAAGTAGGTGAATAAACAAATTGTAGGCTGCAGGTTACTCCTGTACAAAGTAAAGGATAGGACTAAATGATCTTGAAGGTTCTTTCCAGCTCTTAAATAATTTGAATTACTTTGAGATGATACTGAGTTTTTAGCTATGTATTAGAATACTTCTCGAGCTCTGTCTCTAGGAGTTTGTAGTCTCAATAAGATCATTTTCATTTATATGTTAAATGTAAGAATACCTAGTTAGTTGGAAGAGTAAAAGGCTAGAGAAAGATGAAGGAGGTAGGTGAAGGGAGCCATAGGGAGAGAGCACTAGGCACAGGGATATGCTTGGGATGGTTATGGGACAGGGCAAACAGTGACTTGACCCTAGTGGGGAAGCCAGGTGGGTAATGGAAAGAGGCTTGTTGGACAGAATTAGACACCAAAGGCTTTGAAAGATTCAAAGAAAGTTGCTTTTAAAAAATACAATTCCCCAGCTGGGTGCCAGTGGCTCACACCTGTAATCCTAGCTACTTTGGTGGCTATAATCTGAGAATTTCAGTTCAAAGCTAGACAGGGTAAGGAAAGTCTGTGTAAGACTTTCACCTCCAATTAACAAGCAAAAAACTGGAAGTGGAGATGTAACTCAAGTGGTAGAGCACTACCCTTGAGTGGAAAAAGGTTAAGGGACAGTTCCTAGGCCCTGAGTTCAAGCCTCAGTACTAGAACAAAGTCAAAATCAACCAAACAACAACAACATAAATCCAAACCAACCAATTGATACTTGTTTGATTCCTTTTAGTCACAATATCAAAATAGTATGAAAATTGATCAAACACTATAGATTCCTTTAGCTAATAGCATCAGACTTCAGAAACAGAATCTCTTCTCAAATCATTACAATGTTAATTTGGATGCTGTTTTGGTATCCTCTTAACACTGATGACCTCACAGTTTGGTGTGGTTGACTAACTGGAGCTCAGGGGTCAGCAGACCTATGGTGTGTCTGTATGTTTCCCATTAGCCATGATTTCTTCCTGAAAGTACACTGGGTATAGCTCTACTACAGAAGCTGCGTTAGAGCAGAACTGGCTTGCAAGTGGGCCAAAAGGCAGAAACAGTTTAGCTTTTACTATCTGGTAATATGAGTGTCATTAGCACACAGACTTTTTCTAGTTCTTGAGCACTCTGGGCTCCAAGTAAATAAAGGGTGATAGGATTTGTCATTAGAATTAAGGAAGAGGAGCCAGGTGGCTGCTCAGTTTAAATCCATTGTCTGAAGCTATTCTGCTAATCTGAAGTGACAGAATACTGATTAGCATAATGGTCCCAAAACAAAGCCAAGTTCTACATTGGGCACTCTGGAGAAATGGAATCTTCAGGAGAATCATCATCAAAAACTGTTGACTCTATCCTTGGAAACTTAACCAACTTAAAGTTGGAAAAGGCATGTAATTCTTACATGGCAGACGTGCTCTAAACCTTGAATATTTGCTGGATCTCAACAGAGCATCTGTTTATCTGACTTCTTTCCATGTAGCTTTGGAAGTAGGCAGAAATAGTAAGAGCTTTTATGTAAAATAACTCTGTGCTCAGATAAAGTAAAAAGATGAGGGGGCCAGTAAACTGTATGAGGAAGCCAAAGCTAACTCGTGTGTATTAGAAGAAAGATCTGTTCTTAAGTGTCTTTGTAGAAAAATTCTAGAAATAATTTTGTGAATTTCATTTCAAATATATCTTCTATTTTATTAATTTTCAAACTTAGATATTTGTTATGAGCTGAGCAGTCACTAAAGGATACAGTTTAAAAAGAGAATCAAGTAAGATGCCTACTCCTCAAAGTAGCCCCAGTTGGGAAGACAACAAAATTACTATTTACCTACTCAAGGTAAATGAGGACTATCTTAAAATATCTCTCCTAGCTCTGTTAGAGGAGCCCAAGAAGGCAATTTTTTTTAAATAAAAAATTGATTGTGTTAAAAATTTCAGTAAATGGGGCTGGGAAGGTGGCTCAGTGGTAGAGCGCTTGCCTTGCATGCTCGAGGCCCTGGGTTCGATTCCTCAGCACCACATAAGCAAAAAGAAAAAAGCCGGAAGTGGCACTGTGGCTCAAGTGGTAGAGCGCTAGCCTTGAGCTGAAGAGCTGAGGGACAGCGCCCAGGCCCAGAGTTCAGGCCCCACGACCGGACCCAAAAAAAAAAAAAAAAAAAAAAAAAATTTCAGTAAATTAAAAATAAGTATCTTTCTTACTCTCCCCAAAATGATGTTCACATTAAATTTCATTTAGATGTTGCTTTTGATAAGTAATTAATCGTTAAAGTGTTGTACTTGATCACTGCAAAAATAATGCATCAAGATTCTCGTAAATCTTTCTTTCACTCTTCTTCCATAGCTATGGATATGCCCAGTCATAAGTTTATTAGTACTGGAGTTTGAATCAGGTACTTATGCTTGCTAGGCAAGAGCTCTACTAATTCAGCCACTCTGCCAGCCCAGTCACAGGGTTTTGAGGGACTTTCCCCTTCATGACTGTTGTCTAGAGCTTCCTTTCAATGTTCTGAAGAATTTATGGATGAGTATTATAGAAAACTACTGATTCTATGTTCTCTGTGTGATGGTTCTGGGATCTGCTCTCGGTGGCCTGTGAGTTGCTTTTCCAGCAGTCCCGATGGATTGCCCTGAGCATCCATCTTCTCTGTCTTTCCCTTTAACAATTGCATGAACTTAAAAGACAGCTAATCCTCCTTGGTAGTGCAATCTGTGACTGAAAAAAAGAGGGCAAAATTGACCTGTCTAGACAGGAAGTAAACAGGCTTAACTGTTAGCATGGCATTGTAGAACTAACTGGATATTGAGTAGGAAGTGATGAGATGTGTATATATTCTCTTTTTGGTATATGCTCATTGTCCTGTTTTATAACCAAACATATTCACATACATCTCATTTCTTCATTTCATTTTGAATTCTTTTCCTTCTATTGTGATCTATAATTCACATAGCACAAAAATCCCTCTTTTAAAGTGGGTACAGCCTACACTATCTAATCCCAGAACATTTTCCTTACCTGCCGATGAAAACCTGTAGCCATTTCTGCCTCTATTTTCATCAAGCTTCAAATTCTCTCTGTCTCTGTCTCTGTCTCTCTGTCTCTTTGTCTCTCTCTGTCTCTGTCTGTCTGTCTGTCTGTCTGTCTGTCTCTCTCTCTCTCTCTCTCAGTGCTGGTAATGGAGCTTGAACTCAGGTCCTCAAAATCTCACTTGGCTTTTTTCACTCAAGGCTAGCACTCTACCATTTGAGCCACACCTCCAGTTTTGGCATTTTTTGCTGATGAACTGGAAGTAAGAGTCTCATGGACTTTTTTTTTTTTTTTTTGCCAATCCTGGGGCTTGAACTCAGGGCCTGGGCACTGTCCCAGAGCTTCTTTTGCTCAAGGGTAACACTCTACCACTTGAGCCACAGCACCACTTCCTGCTTTTTTCTGTTTATGTGGTACTGAAGAATCGAACCCAAGGCTTCATGCATGCTAGGCAAGCACTGTACCACTGAGCCTCATGACCAGCTTTCTCATGGACTTTTATATCTGGGCTTACTTCCAGCTACAATCCTCAGATCTTAGCTTCCTAAGTAGACAGGATTAAAGGAGTGAACTACCAGTTAAATTATTTTTATCAAGAACTTTAGGACATAATATTTGGGGTAATGTATTCCATCCTTATTCATACATGTGCAACTTACAAGTCTTCTCTTCCAAATTAACAAATGTTATCATTCTGAGACTCCTTCCTTCCTTCCTGCTTTCCTTCCTTCCTTCCTTTCTTCTTTCCTTCCTTCCCTCCTTCCTTACTTGCTCCCTCCCTCCCTTCTTCCCTCCCTTGCTCCATTCTTCCCTCCCTCTCTCCCTTTCTTCCCTCTCTCCTTTTCTCCCTCCCTCTCTTCCTCCTTCCTTCCTTCCATCCTTCCTTCCTTCCTCCTTCTTCTTTCTTCCTTTCCTTTCTCTCTCTTCCTTGCTTGCTTCTTTCTTTCATTCTTCCTTGCTTCTTTTCTTTCTCTCTCTTCCTTTCTTCCTTTCACTCTTTCTTTCTCTTTTTTCTCTCTTTCTCCTTTCCTCCCTTCCTCCCTTCCTCCCTCCCTCCCTCCCTCCCTCCCTTCCTTCCTTCCTTCCTTCCTTCCTTCCTGTCCTGGGGCTTGAATTCAGGGCCTGGGCACTGTCCCTGAGCTTCTTTTGCTCAAGGCTAGCTAGCACTCTACCACTTGAGCCACAGTGCCACTTCTGCCATTCTCTGTTTATATGGTACTGAGGAATAGAACACAAGGCTTCATGCATGTTAGGCAAGCACTCTACCACTAAGCCATATTCCCAGCAAATCTTTAAAAAAATTATATTATCTTTAAGTTGTACAAAGAAGTTCCCATTCTACAAAACAGTATATGAATGCAAGGTATCTGACAACACTGTCACCCATCTGATGCAAATCTTTAAATTAAAAATTTTTTTAATGATATTAGAAATTGAACCCAGGATCTCATGTATGTGAGGCAAATGCTTGAGCTCCAGCCCACAAGTGTCCTCTTAAAAACCCGTATTGAATGTTACTTCTAATCCTTTCAAAAGAAAACACATACGTGGGCATAACATAAAGCAAAATGTAGTAATAATCTTTGAAAGATAAGCTTTGGGGATGGCTTTCATTTTCAGCATTTTTACCAGGAAAGTCTTCTCTTCCCTTTGTGTCTTGGCATTTGGAGTCTGTGATTACAGGGATCACCTTCTCTTCCCCTACAGATGTGTGAATCACTGGCATTCTCAGTTTTCTCACGACATGGTCATATTTCTGTATGTCTTTCAGAATGCAGCTCTTCAGCATCTGTTTATTCGGAAGTCCTTCCGGCCTTTTAAGTGTTTGCAGTGTGGGAAGGCCTTCCGTGAAAAGGACAAACTGGACCAACACTTGCGCTTCCATGGGCGGGAGGGTAACTGCCCGTTGACCTGTGATCTGTGTAACAAGGGCTTCATCAGCAGCGCTTCTCTGGAGAGCCACATGAAGCTCCATTCAGACCAGAAGACTTACTCTTGCATTTTTTGCCCAGAATCCTTTGATCGCCTTGATTTGTTGAAAGATCATGTGGCCATTCATATCAATGATGGCTATTTCACCTGCCCAACTTGTAAGAAACGGTTCCCAGATTTTATCCAGGTGAGTGTCCACTAACCAAGATTCTTGTCTACTTCCTTCTTTTGCTAAAAGAAACTTGGATTTTTGGAAAATTGAGACTGCCTACCACCTACATTTCCACTTCTTCAATCAAACTACTTTTGACAATCTTATGATCCATAGTTGTTCAAATCAGACCTTGTCATCTAAATATCTAAGCTACATTTCAAGTAATAAACACTCAGATGTGATTATAATCTTTTAAGCCTGCCTTAATACTTGTCAATATCCATTGTTGATGAAATATGATATAGAATCTGTAGAAGACAAACTCCCATTCCTGGGCTATAAGCATCTCCCTGGTTTCCTGTCTTGCATTACTAAGGTCATACATTTTGGAAGGAAGCAAGAGAAAGGTGGTGTATAATATGCTTTTGTATGTGCTTCCTGGTAGTATATTCTTTGTTAGAGAAAAATGGGTCAAGATAATTTCCATAATAGCCATGATTTCATTTTATATATTAGTGAATTATCAAATCTCAATATCTCATAAAAATACTTTTAAAAGGACAGTTACTAAAGCAAAAGCATAATAGATTTAATCATAGTATTGCTAGTATTAAAAGTCTTGAGAATTTCCACATTTCATATAGTTAGAAGATTGCTAAGGCAGAATTTGATGGCAAAGAATTGTCAAAATAATGGAGCAAAATGCTTTATAAAATAATAATTAACTTCCATTCATAGTGCTTTTCTTTTTTCTCTTCCTCTCTCATCTTTTTTCTTTCTTTTTCTCAATTTTTTTCTCTCTCTCCCTCCCTCTCTCCCTCCATCCTTTCCTTCCTTTCTTTCTTCCTTCCTTCCTTTCTTCCTTCCTTCCTTCCTTCCTCTCTCTCTCTCTCTCTCTCTCTCTCTTTTCTGTGCTGGGCATGGAACCCAGGGCTAACACATGCTAAGGACTAGGTACATGCTGTACTGAGCTATAGTCTGTTCCCACAGATGTTTTTAATTTAACATGTCTAGCTAAGAGCATTCAAAAGATACACATATGTATAAGTACATATATTATGTAGGCATACATATGGATATGTTATTTATAATATATATATGATATATACTTATATATATATCATGTGGTAGAAATTGAACATAGGCCAAAGCTATATCCTATTATTCTTTTATTATCTAAAAGCAAAGAGAATATGTCCCGAAGCAAGGAGAAAAACACCTGTGTTGTAATCATAAATGGGTAATGTTTCCCATGTCATCTAATTCATATTTTTAATTCTTCAAACTTAATTTTTCTTTCTAGTGCTGGGATTGAACCAGGGCCTCATGTTTGCTAGGTAATTGCTCTACAACAAAGCTCTACATCCCTAATCCCAGAGTGATTTTATGGAAAGATATAAAAAGAAATTTTTTTCTTGTAGATAATGTTTGCCAAGATTTATTTAAACACCAAACAATCCTGCTTTTCATCTTAAAAAGGAAGCGAGATTTGGACACCAAGTGATCAGGACATCTCAACAAACATTTTTCTTTTTTCTATTATTCGTCTGGGAGGTTCAGAGTTGTAGGGCTTTCTGGCAACTTGTTTAATTCAGGGCAAGGACAGTAGGCATTATTGAGGCTAAGTCTTCACATTTGATTGGATGACAGGGCCGGGTTGATGGAAATCCATGCTAATGCATTGGCGCCCTCTAGTGTTGGGAGGAGCTAGCTGCCTTTGGTTCTTCTCTGCTGCCTGAGGGCCTGAGTTTCCCCTGGTCTTTACTGCCAGGTAAAAAAGCACGTTCGCAGCTTCCATTCAGAAAAGATCTACCAGTGTACAGAGTGTGACAAGGCCTTCTGCCGTCCTGATAAGCTGCGGCTCCACATGCTCCGGCATTCAGATCGCAAAGACTTCCTGTGTTCTACCTGTGGAAAACAGTTTAAGGTATGTATTGATAGCCCCTGGAATGGAGTTAGGCAGAGGATAAGTGCCTGCTCATTTAATTCATGTATCACCATTTATGTTGAGCTGAATTGGGAAGCACTTTAGGCCTTTGATTTACTTAGAAAATTAATAGTAAGAAGTTACTTATTTCTCAAAATAATTAATTAAAATTCCTAAACTATTGAATTAATAATGCAGATCCTAATAATGCAAGAAATGGAGGGACAAAGGGTGAATAAATGCAGCAGTGATACTCAGTAGACACTGTGTTGAAAATGAACTACACAACTTATGAGTGAAGACAGGAGAGAAAAGCTGGGAGAGAGCAAAGGAAGGGGTGACTTTATCCAAAAAGGAATGTATTCGTTATGAAATAGTAACATATCATCTTTATAATAAAAGTTTAAAAGCAAAAACAAAAAAATAAAGAATGAAGATCCTAAAAGAATCTAATTATATACTAACTAGTACAACTAAGTTATTATTGAGGTGTTTCTAAAAGTCCAGTATATTTACTTACATTCAAAGCAAGGGATGGATTTTATTTATTTATTTGGTATTGGTAGTGAAGCTTGAATTCAGGGCATGGGCACTATCCTTAGTTTTCTCGCTCAAGGCTGTCACTTTACCATGTAAGCCACAACTGATCCTGACTTTTGGTAGTTAGCTGGAGATAAGGGTCTCATCTTTTCTGCCTGAGCTGGCATCAAACTATGATCCTCATATCTCAGCCTTCTGAGTAGCTTGGATTACAAGTGAGAGCCACCAAGCACCCAGTTGCCAAGGGATTTATTTTATTTTATTTTTTTGTGTTGGTTTGTGGGGCTTGAACTCTGGGCCTGAGTGCTTGTCCCTCAGCTCTTCAGCTCAAGGCTAGTGCTCTACCACTTGAGCTACAGTGCCACTTCTGGTTTTTCTGGTGGTTTATTGGAGATAAGAGTTTCATGGACTTTCCTGACCGAGCTGGCTTTGAGCTGGCTTTGAATCGCTATCCTCAGATCTCAGCCTCCTGAGTAGCTAGGATTACAAGTGTGAGCCACCAGCGCCTGGCTTGCTTTTATTGATGAGCTTTTATTAAGCATCTGAATATATTACTGAGGTAACCAGAGTCTCATCTAACAGGGATGGAAGATGTGAAGGGTGCTGAGACCACTTTGGAGAGTGGTAATGACTTCAAGCATTAAATGAAGTATAACACATATTTTGGCATGTTGGTACATACATATGATCCCAGTACTCAGGAGGCTGAGGAAAGAGAATCAAAAAGTTTGAGGCCAGCCTGGCTTACATAGTAAACCAAAAAAGCAGAAAAAGTAAAGAAAGTATCCAAAACCTGCCTGGACTTGAGAAACAACAAAAGAAAAGCCCACAGGAGACTCAGAGATGACGGTTACATAAATAAATGTGAAAAATAATCATATGTTGCATTTGGAAATAAGGAGATGTTGCAAAAATATCATTGAGAGACACTACTGAATATGACTGTGGCTTGTACTATCATAGATAATGGGAAAAATCAGAACTGGATCCTTAGGAGGGAAAAATGTGGGGGTATATCTATTTAGAATAACATTAAAAGCCAGACGCCAATGGCTCACACATTTAATCCTAGCTATTCAAGAGGCTGAGATCTCAGGATTGTGGTTCAAAGCCAGCCCTCGTAGTAAAGTCCATGAAATTCTTATCTTCAGTTAAACACCAAAAAAGCTGGAGGTTGAGCTGTGGCTCAAAGTAGAGCACTAGCAGGACATAGAAAGTAATTTTTAACGCTCAAGTTTTGTGGTTCATTTGTCATAAATTTTTGTGGTGGTTTATATAGGATAATAGCATTATTTAAATCTCTGTAAGCAACTCAAATGTGAAAAGTATAAGTAAGTCTGGATTTTTCTTGGTTTTATAATGAAGCTATTCTGTGTTAAGGATTGAACCTATGGCTTTATGCGTGCTAAATACTGGCTCTACCACCAAATTTTAGGCTTAGCCCTATAAAAGAAAAGATTTTATTTCTTTTTTTTTTTCTTTTGGGTCCGGTCATGGGGCCTGAACTCTGGGCCTGGGCGCTGTCCCTCAGCTCTTCAGCTCAAGGCTAGCACTCTACCACTTGAGCCACAGCACCACTTCCGGCTTTTTTCTTTTTGTTTATGTGGTGCTGAGGAATTGAACCCAGGGCCTCTGGCATGCAAGGCATGCGCTCTACCACTGAGCCACCTTCCCAGCCCTAAAAGAAAAGATTTTATATGAAAGGATCCCTGTCTTGTGATGTTAATTACTTGGGCAACCATCCATCCTATCCACTCAACACCCTTTGCTTATCAATTTTTTGCCCGATACTACTTTAACACCAAGAAAGGTGTTAAAAAATCAACTTCTATTTTCTCCTTTCATTTCACCCAATATATTGGTCAGGGTTCAATTAGGGAAGCAAAGTTACTTGCCAGAAGATTGTCTTAGAAGAGTAAGTAAATGTCTGAAAGGAGAAGTTGGGTATCAGAACAGCCACCATTGAATCTTCTGAAGCAATGGCCTGGGCAGACAAGTGGGAACTCATCTGCAGGGCCGGCCCATGGACGGAAGCTGCCGTCATTCACAGAAGTCCATGTGGCTGTGTCCGATGGCAAGCCTGAGTTGGACGGCAGGACTGGCAATCAGGAAGAGAGCTGTGGCTGAGATGGAAGGAGGATTTGGGGGAGGAACTGACCCCTCCAGTCTGGTGCTAGCTTCTTTTGGCTGATTCTAACTTGGAACAATACTGGGAAGAAGATTCTATCTAAATGTAGTTTGTCTGGCCATATTGATAGACCTCAAAACTACCACATACTTACAATGATTTTTTTTCAGACTATAGCTGGGGTAATTTTCTAGAGAATAAATCTGATGTCCTGGCTCTTGTAAAAAAAAAAAAAAAAAAATTCCTTAATAGGTCTTCATAAAGATAGATCCTCCAGTTCTCATCATTTAACAGACACTGCAAAACCTCGTTTTGCTTTGCCTCTCTTTTCCCTCTTCCACGTTGCACTCTGGCTACACTCCAGTGCAGGGTACATTTCTCCTCCCTCTTACCCAAGCTTGAAAGAAGCCTTTAGATTCATATCATTTCACCTGGCAAGTATCACACTTCATCTGGGCATTTCTTGGTCTGTGAACTGAATGCTTTTTTTTTTTATTATTATTAATTTCCATAGTACCTTTTGCTTGCTAACATGTATTTGCTGATAGCAGTCATATATTAAATTTGTCTGTCCTCCTAACTATAAATTCCATGAGGCCAACAAAGATAGAAGATAGATAGATGGGAATAGATAGATAGATAAGGTATTTTGACTTTCGAAAGCTAACACTTTTGTCAGAAAATAAACATTTAAAATTTTATTGAATTGGTATGTTGGTGCATTCTTTTTTTTGGGGGGGGGTCTGGTCGTGGGACCTGAACTCTGGGCCTGGGCGCTGTCCCTCAGCTCTTCAGCTCAAGGCTAGCACTCTACCACTTGAGCCACAGCGCCACTTCCGGGTTTTTTCTTTTTGCTTATGTGGTGCTGAGGAATCGAACCCAGGGCCTCAGGCATGCAAGGCAAGCGCTCTACCACTGAGCCACCTTCCCAGCCCCATTGGTGCATTCTTATAATCCAGTGGAGGATTAGGCAGGAGGATCCGCACTGTGAGGTTAGCCCAGGCTACATAGTGAGAGCCTGCCTCCAAAATAAAATATTGATACTATAATAAAGGATGACGTGCTATGAGAACAGTTAACTCTTACTTGGAGTATAAGGAAGCACTGATAGCTTTTTATTTTCAGTGAACCCAGCACCTCACAGATACTAGTTAAGTATTAACTCTACTCCCAGCTCACAATAACAATTCCGAATTCACTAAAGGTTGAGGAAGAGTTTGCCAGCTAGGGAAAAGGAAAGGATGAGGAATGAAGATACCCCAAGAGAGGAAGCAGCAGGGACTGAAGCAGTAGCACATTCAGCAGATGAGATGGTGAGTGATGGAATGGATGTGTAGGAAGAGGCCAGTGAGGAGATGACATCAGAGAGGTAAAGCCAGCTTGTTAGACTGATTAATTAGACTTACAGTAAAGAGAGCCCAGGGCCTTTGGAAGCGGATCCTAAACTCAGGCTCACAAGCCGAAGGAGGTCCAGGCAGACAATTGAAGAAGAACTCATAGGACCTCGGGATGGATGAAAGAGTGAAAGGCAGAGTATGAAGAATTGAGATCTGTACTTTGGGAGGCTAGATGTCTGCATACACCACTGATACTAAGAAGCTAGGTACAAGCGTGAGGAGAAATGAGTAGAAGGTTTGGAATCTGATTTGGGAGATGCTGGAGTGGAAAGGTCTTGTGGAGATTTGGCACCCAACAAATACATGCCCATTACTGTTTATTTGGTGTGTATTAATATGGTGCTTTGAAGTTTAAGAAATGATTCGGTTAGGGTGAATTGGTCTGTTTAATGAAAATAGAGGAAGAAAATTAGTGGATACTGGTGATCAGGAGAAAGTAGCAAGGCAATGGAACTTTATCACTGGATCTGCTGTAAAGAAGATTACTGTTACTTAGGGCACTGTCCTTAGCTCAGATTTGCTGCAGACTGAGAAACTGAGCATCCCAGGAGTGAGAGGCCCAGTGGGACAGGGGAAAGAGTAGTTGTATCCATTGTAGCAGAGGCAGCTGAGCGAGAGGTGCCCTGCACTGGAACTTAGTACTCGGCATAGTAAGCACTGGAGCATTTGTTGAATGATTGTGCTGAAAACCTCAGTGGTTAAAGACAGTCCCTGCACCAAAAGTTGGGAAGAACTTGTTGCAGAAAGATTCAGTCATTACAAAACTGAAGCAGTTTGAACCTCCTTCCAAGAGCAGACAACCCCACTGGATAACGAAGTTGGCTTTTTTCTTTCTTAACAAAATTATTTTAAAGGTGATATACAGAGAGTTTACAGTTTCCTAAGTCAGGTAATGAGAACATTTCTTTTGGGATAATGTCACTACTTCCTTCGCGCTCTCCCAGTTTCTTCCCTCTCATCCCCGCCCTCAGTAGTATAGTTCATTTTCAGGATAGTGTCGAGTGAGTCCCACTGCTGCACTTGTTCACCCTCTGTCCTTCCATTTCTGTATCTCACCTGGCCCTCCCAAAGACAGATAAATGAACAAACAAGACAAAAGGAAAATAGAAACAACAAAGAAAAAAGCTCTTGTTTCCATTTTCTGGAGTTCATCTTGATAAATACTATTTTCTATGATCAGAGGCACATAGGCAATGCGGCTTTGTGTTCTTCCCTAAGAGTATCCTCTTTTAGTGGCATTTTTTAAAATTTATTTTTATTCAGAATGACCTCTGCCTAATTTTCTTTCTGTGGACTTGCACTAGCATGGATTACTAGATAATCAAGGCAGCTAGATAATCCCAGCAATTTGTGAGGCTGAAGTGGGAGGATCACCTGAGCCCTGGATTTTGGGGACAGTCAAGGCAATGAAACAAGTCCCCAGCTCCAGGGGCTGGAAAGGTAGCTCAGTGGTAGAGCGCTTCCCTTGCATGCCTGAGGCCCTGAGTTCAATTCCTCAGCACCACATAAGCAAAAAGAAAAAAGCCGGAAGTGGTGCTGTGGCTCAAGTGGTAGGGCACTAGCCTTGAGCTGAAGAGCTGAGGGACAGCGCCCAGGCCCAGAGTTCAGGCCCCACGACCAGACCCCCCCCCCAAAAAAAAAAAAAATCAGATCTCAGCCTCCTGAGTAGCTAGGATTACAGGCGTGAGCCACCAGTACCCAGCTTTTATCACCAATCTTAAGATGTCACAGCCAGCAGATGAGTTTGCTCATCTAAATCAGGCTGGGGTGACTGGGAAGGTGACTCAGTGGTAGAGTGCTTGTCTTGCATGTATGAGGCCCTGAGTTCAATTCCTCAGCACCACATAAGCAAAAAGAAAAAAGCCGGAAGTGGTGCTGTGGCTCAAGTGGTAGGGCACTAGCCTTGAGCTGAAGAGCTGAGGGACAGCGCTCAGGCCCAGAGTTCAGTCCCCACAACCGGACCCAAAAAAAAAAAAAGACCCCAGCTCCAAAAAAAAAAAGGTGCACCTGTGCCCTGGTCCACATGGTCCATGTACAGTGGATAGTGCAATTGCTGCCTTGAATTTCTAACTCCATGAGGTGAGAAACTCAAATCCATTAGCTGATAGGTCTTTACTGAATTGCATTTGAGATTTCAAAGTGCCATGTCATTCAAATATGTGGGAAATGAGTATTATACCCATGGCTTTGTAAAGTCAATATTGCTGATCCTTCTTTATCAGTTTGTTGTGTAGTTGTTAATACCAGACTTACCAATGTACTCTTTGTGCTCCTTTATATAAAGCAGTCTTTCTTCTCAAAAAGCAGTCATTCATGTTTAATGATGGCAACCTACTAAAGGCACTTGTTAGTGATTCTACTTTGTGCATGTGCGTGTGTGCGTGCATGCATGTGTGCATGTGCATGCATGTGTGTGTGTGCGTGCGCACATGTGTGTGCATGCGCGCGCCAATCCTAGGGCTTTGAACTCAGCCTGGGTGCTGTTCTGAGCCTCTTTTGCTCAATGCTAGCATTCTACCACTTGAGTCACAGCTCCACCACATCTTTTTGGTAGTTAATTGGAAATAAAGAGTTTCACAGGCTTTCTTGCCCCATGTGGCTTCGAACCAAGATCCTCATATCTCAGCCTGAGCAGCTAGGATTACAGGTTTGAATCACTGGTGCCTGGCCTGTGATTCTACTTTTGACCCATCTGTGATATCCCACTACTGCAGCAACCAAATTAGTGGCTTGTGGTAACTACGTGTTTGTATTTCTCTAAAAACAATCATTCCTTCCATTAAAATTATACTATACTCACCCTTACTCCATTTTCAAAAATTCTCTCCAAATAGCGGAAAGACAAACTACGGGAACACATGCAAAGAATGCATAATCCTGAAAGAGAAGCCAAGAAAGCCGATCGCATCAGCCGCTCCAAGACCTTCAAACCCCGCATCACATCCACGGACTATGACAGCTTCACGTTCAAGTGCCGCCTGTGTATGATGGGCTTTCGGCGCAGAGGCATGCTGGTCAGTGCTGCTTCCCAGTCCACCTTCTTTCTCTTGGATATTGTGTTGTGTCTGTGAGTCTGTTTGTCAGTAGGTGTAGTCACTGGCTGGGGGAATAAACTGGCAAACAGTTCCCAGTCTGGAATTTCTGCTTCCTATTTCCTTTTGCCCTCCTGTGTCACTTTTTGGGTTACCTGCTATGAGAAGGCTTTCTGTTGTGTGTTTCTGGGGATTGAACCCAGGACCTTGTACCTGCTAAGCACATGCTCTACCACTGAATCCTCCCTGACCTCTCATTGTTCATTACCAGGTTGTTTTTTTTTTTTTCCTTTACGCTTCTCGGTCTCTGTGGTCTTGTTCTATTTCCCTCTTCTCTTTTGTGTTCCTTTGGAAGGTGTGTGTGTGTGTATTCGCGCACCAGTACGAGGGTTTGAACTCAGGGCTGCATGTACATGGCTCTTTCACTCAAGGCTGGTGTTCTACCACTTGAGCCATACCTCCAGCTCCTTGTGTTCCTGATTATACTTGCTGGGGAGGGGGAATCTTTGCCTTCTCCCTGACTATCTGTGAATGCCAGTACCTCTTTTTTTCCAGTTAGGAAATGACAGTAGAAGGAAACTTCCCATCAAAGCGGGATATGTGGTCCCAGGTTAATGTAAACAGAATAAAGCCCAGTTACTGCTCTTGACCTACTTTGACCACCTTATAGTTGCAGAATACATTTTAGCTAAGAGCTAGGAAGGTAGAACAATATTTAAAATTCAGAGCCTTACTTTGTATTGTATTTATTCAGGAGAATTAACCAAAGAAAAGCCAGTATAGTCGTATTTTCCCAGTAGTACTTCTGACAGCCAGAGACTTTTGATGGGATCCTGGTGACCCAGCTTGATTTCAGTTGTTTGTGGAGTGAATTAATGTTACCTCCTGTTGACAGGAAGTGGTGTCACATGTGCCTGGAGGTGCTGATCCTAGGCAAATGCTTTGCTGTGTGGGCTCTGCTTCAAAGCATTTCAGCTTCCAGCACTCTTATCCTAGGCATTTGTTTACCTTCTCTAATGGGCCCTCTTTCTCATTTGTTCTTGTTTTTCCTTCAGGTAAATCACTTATCAAAGAGGCATCCAGACATGAAGATAGAAGAGGTGCCAGAGTTAACCCTACCTATCATAAAACCCAACCGTGATTATTTCTGTCAGTACTGTGATAAGGTAAAAGCAAAATACCCACTCTGGTGAGCCAAGCTGTGGGAGCCCTGATTAGAGCCAGTTTGTTGGCATGCACAAATCTACAGTAGGATCTTACAGTTGCTCATAGCAGATGGCTCCTTGCCTCGCAGTAGTTTTCCATTCAGACAAAAAGCTAGTCTTGGAACTGCATTTAAACCCATTTTCCCCCCTTAAGAATTAGTTGATACAGCCAGTTGCCAGTGGCTCACGCCTGTAATCCTAGCTACTCAGGAGGCTGAGATCTGAGGATCACAGTTCAAAGCCAGCCTGGGCAGAAAATCTGTGATACTCTTATCTCCAGTTAACCACCAGAAAACCAGAAGTAGCACTGTGGCTCAAGTGGTAGAGTACTAGCCTTGAACTGAATGCAGGGACAGCGCCCAGGCCCAGAGTTTACGCCCCATGACTGACCAAAAAAAAAAAAAAAAGGATTTGGTTTTCTTATTATCTGTTTTCTCTGTGACTTCTGTTATAAAAGAAGAGACATTGATTACCAAGAGCTTATAATACAAATTCATTCTAAGTTCTTAAGGTCTAATGAGAGCATCTGTCAAATCTGTAGTAGATTTGGGATTTCTAGAAGATTGGGTGGGATGTGAAAAAGTTGTTTTTTTGGGTCCGGTGTGGGGCCTGAACTCTGGGCCTGGCCGCTGTCCCTCAGCTCATCAGCTCAAGGCTAGTGCTCTACCACTTGAGCCACAGTGCCACTTCCGGCTTTTTTCTTTTTGCTTATGTAGTGCTGAGGAATCGAACCCAGAGCCTCAGGCTTGCAAGGCAAGCGTTCTACCACTGAGCCACCTTCCCAGCCCCTGTTGTTGTTTTTTAAATACGATATTTGTTGTGAAAATAGTGTACAGAGGGATTACAGTTACATGAGGAAGGTAATGAATACATTTCCTATCATTCATTGTTACCTTCTCCTTTGTTTTCCCCCTACCATCCCCTTCCTTCCCCACCTCCCCAACTCCTCTCTTCCTCCCTCCCCCCCACAAGTTGTAAAGTTTGCTTTCAACATAGTGTCTTGTACATTTCATTGTTACAATGGGTCAACCTGTATCCCTATTTAAGCATTTTGGTGAAAAAGTTTTGTCATGCATACTCTACTTGGATGATTTCATTCTTCTTGTTCTTCTTGTACTTCTTCTTTTTGGTAAACTTACAAAGGAAAGAAAATACTGTTTGTTGTTTCTTTGTAATATTGTCCTTCTTTGGTAAAGTAGCTCTGTTAGCTTAAAAGAAGCAGGTTTTTAGGTGCCACCTGTGGCTCAGGGCTGTAATCCTAGCTTCTCAGGAGGCTGAGATCTGAGGATCCCAGTTCAAAGCCAGCCTGGGCAAGAAAGTCTGTGAGACTCTTATCTCCAATTAATTACCAAAAAGCTGCAAGTAGAGCTGTGCCTCAAGTAATAGAGCATTAACCTTAAGCAAAAATGTTCAGGGAGAATACTCAGACCTTAAGTTCAAGCCCAGGATGAGCACAAAAAGAAAAGGAGGAAACAGGGTTTAAACCAGAGTGCTCACCATAGTTGCTCAATATTGAACTTACAACTCAGAAGACTTTGTGCCTTCTTTTTTGGGTCTGGTCATGGGGCCTGAACTCTGGGCCTGGGCGCTGTCCCTCAGCTCTTCAGCTCAAGACTAGTGCTCTACCACTTGAGCCACAGCGCCAGTTCAGGCTTTTTTCTTTTTGCTTATGTGGTGCTGAGGAATTGAACTCAGGGCCTCATGCATGCAAGGCAAGCGCTCTACCACTGAGCCACCTTCCCAGCCCCAAGACTTTGTGCCTTCTAATCTTCAGTTACATTGGTCCTGTGAGAGCCTTACAGACAGAAAAAAGGTGAACTGGTCTCCAAATCAATTCTGTTTACCTTTTAAATTTTTAGGTAAAGGATTTAAAAAAAAATTATAGTTACTACTTATATATACACGGAAAATTCAAGGAAGATTCCTACATGCTTGTATTGTGTTCTTACTTAATTATATATAATATATGTAGTTATATATAATTATATAATTAATTATATATAGCATATTATATAATTATATATATGTTATATATAATATAGTACCTATCTATATATATAATATGTATACACACACACACACACACACACACACACACACACACACACACACACACACACACACACACATATACATATACATACAGTCACTCTTGGAGCTTGAACTCAGGGCCTAGGTACTGTTCCTGAGCTTTTGAGTTCAAGGCTAGCACTCTACTACTTTGACCCACAGCACCACTTCCGGTTTTCTGGTGGTTAATTGGAGATAAGAGTACCATGGTCTTTCCTGCCCAGGCTGGTTTTGAACCATGATCCTCAGATCTCAGCTTCCTGAGTAGCTAGGGTTATAGGAGCGAACCCTGGAGCCCAGCTTATTTTATTATATTCTAATTAGTGTAATATCATATTATAATATACTATATCATATATATATATATATACATGTATAGTATTTGGGAATGAACCGTAGGCCTTGCACATGGTAAGCAAGGACTTTATCACTAGGCCTTGTTTTTTTGTTTATTTTATTTTATTTTTTGTTTTGTTTTTAGTGTCAATACTGGAGCTTGAACTCGGGGACTGGGCACTGTTCCTTAGCTTTTTTTGTTCTAGGCTAGGTTTCTACCATCAACAGTTCTATATCTGGCTTTTTGCTGATTAATTGGAAATAAGAGTCTCATAGACTTTCCTGCTGGCTTCAAACTGCAATCCTCAGAACTCAGCCTCTTGAGTAGCTAGAATTATAAGCATTAGCCATAGACACCAACCAACCTTTGGTTTTTTGAGACAAAATCTTGTTATATAGCCAGGCTGGCCTTGAACTCACACTCCTCTTGTGTCCTCTTCCTGAGTGCTAGGATTACAGACATGTACCATTATACCCATATTGCTCATAGTATATTTTATTTGGGTTATATCAATATTTTTTTTCACTACCTTAGGATGAAATTCTTAGTTGGCTTGAAAAGCCAACAAAGCAAGAAGGTTGACTATAACCATTTTTATAGTAAAGTATTTGAACTTGCAGGTTTATAAAAGTGCCAGTAAACGTAAAGCTCATATTCTGAAGAACCATCCAGGAGCTGAGTTGCCTCCAAGCATTCGGAAACTTCGTCCTGCTGGTCCTGGAGAGCCAGACCCCATGCTAAGCACCCATACCCAGCTGACGGGCACCATTGCTACTCCTCCTGTGTGCTGCCCACACTGCTCTAAGCAGTACAGCAGCAAGGTATGTGGCTTGCTTCTGATCAAATGATTGCAAACTCTCTATAGAGCACTGTCTTCACAGAAGAGGGCTTCTCATCCAGATGACCTGAGTCGTTGCTTTTGGGATGGGGGGTACTAAAGAGAACTAATCCTAGTTCCAATAGATAGGGACGGCCGCAGAGAACAGGAAGGGAATACTGTGAACTCCTCAGAATTGAAGCCATCTCCTAGTTTGAGCAATTCACTCACTGTTCTTTGTCTTCAGCCTGCTCACCTGCTAAAGGAATATTCTATGCTCATGATTTAGAGTCTTCCCACTACATAGGAACTAAAATGATAGTTCTTGGAAAGAGGATTTTTTTACGTGTGTGTGTGTGTGTGTGTGTGTGTGTGTGTGTGTGTCACAAGTTTTTATGGGGATAGGGTATGCTGTGAAATTTATAGATCTTACCCAGTGACCCAATGATGTGAATTCATGTGGATTTTTTACTGTCATGGTCTCCTTGTTTTTTCTTTCTTAGTTGCTTTTGGAAGGACAGGTACAGAATCAGTGCTGTTCTGAATGAAAAAAAAATTTTTTTTTTGGCCAGTTCTGGGGCTTGGACTCAGGGCCTGGGCACTATCCTTGAGCTTCTTTTGCACAAAGATAGCACTCTACCACTTGAGCCACAATGCTACCTCTGGCTTTTTCTGTTTATTTGGTGCTGAGGAATCAAACCCAGGGCTTCATGCATGCGAGGCAAGCGCTCTACCACTGGGCCACATTCCTAGCCTTGAATTTTTTTAAATTTTATTTTAATCAATGAATTAAAATAAGAGATAGAGTTAGGGTCTTGCTGTGTTGTCTAGGCTGGCCCCAAACTCCTGGGCTCAAGTGATCCTCCTGCCTCAGCCTCCCAAGTAGCTGGAGGATATTTTATTTATTTATCTATTTATTTTCATGCTAGTACTGGGACACAGGGCCTGAGTGCTATCTCCTAGCTTTTTTGTTCAAGACTAGTGTTCTACCACTTGAGCCACAGCTTTACTTCGGCTTTTCTTTGGGGTCCGGTCATGGGGCCTGAACTCTGGGTCTGGGCGCTTTTCCTTAGCTCTTCAGCTCAAGGCTAATGCTCTACCACTTGAGCCACAGCACCACTGCTGGCTTTTTTCTTTTTGCTTATGTGGTGCTGAGGAATTGAACCCAGGGCTTCATGCATGCAAAGCAAGCGCTCTACCACTGAGCCACCTTCCCAGCCCATACTTTGGCTTTTTTTGATGCTTGATCGAAAATAAGAATTTCATGGGCTTTATTGCTGGCTTGAACCGTAATCCTAAAATCTTGGCTTCTATAGTAGTTTGGATTATAGGCATGAGCTACTGGCACATGACTGGCTGGTATTTTAGTTTTAGTTTTGTTTTTCTTTAATGCCAGTACTGGGGCTTGAACTCAGGGCCTGGATGCTGCCATTTACCTTAGCACTCTACTACTTGAGCCACAGCTGTACTTTTGGCTTTTGGTGGTTAATTGAAGATAAGAGTCTGATGGACTTTCCTGCCCCAGCTGGCTTCAAATTGCAATCTTCAAATTGCAGTCCTCCTGAGTGGCTAAGATTATAGAAGACAGATGTGAGCCACCAACATATGGGTTGATATTTTATTTTAAAAAATTATTAATTTCACCTGGGTTTGATCCCCAGTACCAAAAAAGAAAAGACAAAAAAAATACAGTTAAAAACAAACAAACAAACAAAAAGGGCTGGGATGTAGCTCAGTGGCAAAGCGTTTGCCTAGCAAGTGCAACGTCCTGGGTTCGATCCCCCGTACCAAAAAAGAAAAGACAAAAAAAAAATACAGTTAAAAATTATTAATTTCAATAAATAGTATTTTACTTTATTTATTTTCAATGTTATCATGAAAGTGATGTACACAGGAATTACATTTACCTAAATCATGTAAAGAGTACATTTCTTTTTTTTTTTGTTTTGTTTTGTTTTTTGTTTTTTGGTTAGTCAGTCCTGGGGCTTGAACTCTGGGCTTGGGTGCTCTCCCTGCATTCTTCAGCTCAAGGCAAGCGCTCTACCGCTTGAGCCACAGAGCCACTTCTGATTTTCTAGTGGTTTATTGGAGATAAGAGTCTCACAGACTTTCCTGCCTGGGCTGGCTTTGAACCATGATCCTCAGATCTCAGCCTCCTGAGTAGCTAGGATTACAGGCGTGAGCCACCGGCGCCCAGCAGAGTACCTTTCTTTTTGGACAATGCCCCCTTCTCTTGTTCTCTCCCAGTTTTTCCCTCTAGTTCCCACCTACAAGTTGTATAGTTAGTACCCACAAATTGTATATTTCATTTTCAACATAATGTCTAGTGAGTACCACAATATTTTACTTTTTTTTTTTTTTTTTTGTCTGTCATGGGGCTTGAATTCAGGGCCTGGGGATGAGACTCATGGACTTTCCTACCCAGGCTAGTGATCCTTAGATCTCAGTTTCCTGAGTAACAAGTATGGATATTTTACTTTTTTTTTTTTTTTTTTGGTTGGTCATGGGTCCTGCACTCTGGGCCTGGGCACTGTTCCTCAACTCTTTAGCTCAAGGCTAGTGCTCTACCACTTGAGCCACAGCACCACTTCTGGCTTTTTCTGCTTGTGTGGTACTGAGGAATCAAACCCAGGGCCTCATCATGCAAGGCAAGCACTCTACCATTGAGCCACCTTCCCAGCCCTTGATACTTTACTTTTTAAAGGCACAAAATAGAAGGTTTAAGAACCTTTGATGGTTTATATATGAGAAACAACAAAATAATTCTACTCACTATTCTTAGAGAGAGAGAGAGAGAGAGAGAGAGAGAGAGAGAGTGTGTGTGTGTGTGTGTGTGTGTGTGTGTGTGTGTGTGTGTGTGTGTGTGTGTGTGTATCTATGTTTCACTTTGATTTTTTTGAGACTAGGTCTTGCCTAAGCTGCTTTTAGACTTACACTTCTCCTGCCTCAATCTGTAGTAATTGCTATTGATTTTCTTTGATGTTTTTCAGACCAAGATGGTCCAACACATTCGAAAGAAACATCCTGAATATGCACAGCTGCCCAACACTATCCATACCCCCTTGACAACAGCTGTGATCAGTACTGCCCCGGCTGTTTTAACGACAGACAGTGCCACTGGAGAGACTGTGGTGGTAAGCATGTGGCCAGGAAGACCATTTCGTTCCCTTCAGTGCCTAGGATCTCTTGAAGCAGCGAAGCCATGTTGATCTAGCTGTTTATTGGCTGCAGATGGCCCCTTCATCCTTTAGTTTACTACTTAATGCTTTATGCTACTAACTGGATTTCCTAGTCAATGCTTTTCAAAGCTTTCCATCAAAGAAGTAGCAGGAAATTTTCAGTGATGCTTCTTCACTGCAATGTTATCTCAACCTCCAAGGACGCTCTATTAGATCAGAGGCAGGCACTCAGGGTTAATTTGTAGTTCCATGATCTGCCAGTATGACAACCTAAATTTCAGTTGTATTTAAGACCACTGAAATAGGCAGGGTGCTGGTAGCTCACACCTGTAATCTTACTCAAAAGGCTGAGATCTGAGGATCAAAGTTCAAAGCCAACATGGGCAAACAAACCTGAGAGATTCTTTTCTCCATTTAACCAGCAAAAAGCCAGAAGTGAGTCAGGTGCTGGTGGCTTATGCCTATAATCCTAGGTACTCAGGAGGCTGAGATCTGAGGATCATAGTTTGAAGCCAGCCCAGGCAGGAAAGTCCTTGAGACTCTTATCTCTAATTAACCACCAGAAAGCCAGAAGTGGAGTTGTGGCTCAAAGTGGTAGAGCCCTGTCCTTGAGCAGAAAAGCTCAGGGACAGTGCCCAAGCCTTGAGTTCATGCCCCACAACAAAAAGCCAGAAGTGAGGTTATGGCTCAAGTGATAAGCACTATCCTTGAGAGAGTTAAGAGAGGTTGGGAGGCCCTGAGTTTAAGTCCCAGTATCAAAACACTGAAATATCTACAAACTGGTGTTACCAACTAATGTGTACTATGTGATTTTTCTAGACAACAGATCTGCTAACCCAAGCAATGACAGAACTGTCCCAGACCCTAACAACAGATTATCGAACGCCACAGGGGGACTACCAGAGGATTCAATATATTCCTGTGTCTCAGTCTGCATCTGGTCTCCAGCAACCTCAGCACATACAGCTTCAAGTGGTGCAGGTGGCCCCGGTACTGTATTATATTTATTTCTTTATGCCATTGGCCAGGATGGCATTTTGAGTGGAGCAAAGCACTCAGGTCTCAGAGTTGGAGCTAAGCTGTATATAGGTGCTTCTGCATGGAAGTTCTGTGCCTTGGTTAGTACGCACCATCTCTATTGCCCTCCCCAAGCTGAGGAGGGCTCTGGACTTAGTATCTGTTTTAGTCAGATCTTACGTTCCTGTGTAACAGCCCTCCTGTGCTCAGACTTCTTCAGAAGCATCTCTTTCTGCACCTATTTGAAACATTGTCCTTCAAGGCTACTTTTCCAGCACCTTCATTGAGTACTTGATAATGAGAAATTTCCATATGGGTATTGAATGACATATCAGGCTTTAAAGATAATTTTGGCTGAGTTCTAGGGGATCATCTGGAGGATCATCTCAGGAGGCTGAGATCTAAGGATCATGGTTTGAAGCCAGCCCTGGCAGAAAATCCACGAGACTCCTATTTCCAATTAATCAGCAAAAACCAGAAGCAGATCTGTGGCTCAAGTGGTTGAGCACCAGCCTTGAATAAATATGCTAAGGGACAGCATCCAGACCCTGAATTCAGGCTCAGTGCCAGCACACACAAAAAAAGACAATTTTGATTCAATCTCTGAACCGCTGTCAGTTTCTTTTTGGTATTGAGGTAAAACTATGTTTTTTTTTTTTTTTCTACCAGATATGAATAGCTCATGCTTACTGATTAGCTATAAGAAGGGATCCTCCCTGAACTACTTTTCATCTAATTATACTATGAGGAAGTATGTTAAGACTGAAATGCACAAGCTTGTTGCTTTGAAATCATGGCTTTCAAGATTACAACAAATAGGGGCTGGGAAAGTGGCTTAGTGGTAGAATGCTTGCTTTGCATGCATAAGACTGGGTTCGATTCCTTAGCACCACATAAGCAGAAAAAAAAAGTGGAAGTGGTGCTGTGGCTCAAGTGATAGAGCACTAACCTTGAGCTGAAGAGCTGAGGGACAGCGCCCAGGCCCTGAGTTCAGGCCCCACGACCGGACCCAGAAAAAAAAAAAAAAGTAAAAAGTAAAGAATAGTTAACAACAGTGACAACTTCCAGTTTCTACAAGTTTAAATCATATTTTTTTTTTTTTTTTTTTCTGTCGGTTGTGGGGCCTGAACTCTGGGTCTGGGCGCTGTCCCTCAGCTCTTCAGCTCAAGGCTAGCACTCTACTACTTGAGCCACACCACCACTTCTGGCTTTTTTTCTTTTTGCTTATGTGGTGCTGAGGAATCGAACCCAGGGCCTCATGCATGCAAGGCATGCGCTCTACTACTGAGCCACCTTCTCAGCCCTACTTTTTAATTTTTTTGTGCCAGAACTTGAGTGCTGTCCCTGAGCTTTTTGTGCTAAAGGTGGTGCTCTACCACTTGAACCACAGCTTTACTTCTGCCTGTTTTTGCTAGTTAATCAGAGATAAGAGTCTCACAGACTTTCTTGCTAGGGCTGGCTTTGAAATGTGATTCTCAGATCTCATCCTTGTGCCTAACTAGAATTACAGTTGTGAGCCATCGGAGTCCTGCTTATCCTTGGGTTAAAATTTTTTTGTTTTTATTTTTGTTGATATTGTTGGGTTTTTTTTTGTTTTTTTTTTAAATTTTATTTTATTGTAAAGCTACTATACAGAGGGTTACAGTTACATGAGTGAGGTAATGCGTACACTTCCTCTTGAACATTGTTACCCCCTCCAGATATTGTTGGTTTTGAGACCATGTTTTATTATGTAGCTGAGGCCAGCCCCAAACTGATAATCCTCCTAAGAGGGATTTTGGTTTGGTTTGGTTTTAAAGTGGGAAAGCAAGGAGTTTAATAGAAAAAAAACATATCATTAAGGGCTACAGCAGATTCTGGGTAGGTGACTCAAGAGCCAGGTTAAAGGAGAGACATACAGAAACAGAGAGACATTTCCAGCTCTCACTGTAAGAAATGAAATTAAAGACCCAGGGATATTGTTGGGGTTTTTTTTTGTTTTGTTTTGTTTTGTTTTTTTGGTTGTGGGTCTTGAACTCTGGGCTTGGGCGCTGTCCCTGTGCTCTTCAGCTCAAAGTGAGTGCTCTACCACTTGAGCCACAGTGCCACTTCCGGTTTTCTAGTGGTTTATTGGAGATAAGAGTCTCACGAACTTTCCTTCCTGGGCTGGCTTTGAACTGCAGTCCTCAGATCTCAGCCTCCTGAGTAGCTAGGATTACAGGCGTGAACCACTGGCCCCTGGCTGGGATAATGTTTTTAAGTGAACTTTTTCTGGAAGGGTTTCCTTTAACCTCCGTCAATGTTGGGTCTTCTTCTGTCCTGAAAGACCGGTCGGAGGGGCTCGCCCGTTCCCCAGCCTCCCTCAGCCCGGGAGACAATCAGACACAGTGGGGAGCCTTTATTAACAGAGAGCAGCCCTTTTTTTTTAAATTTTTTTTATTTTTTTTTATTGTAAAGCTACTATACAGAGGGTTACAGTTACATGAGTGAGGTAATGAGTACACTTCCTCTTGAACATTGTTACCCCCTCCATTGTTTTCCCCCTACCATCCCCTCCCTTCCCCGAGGTTCTTTTTTTTTTTTTTTGATTGTGATTAAGTGATTACATAATTTCAAAGTCACAAGTTCATTCTAACTTTCCTGGAGCAAATTGTCTATCACAGTCTGTAATATATAACAGTGTTCACATGTTATATACCATATTTGTGATCAGCAGCATGGGGATATTTAGTAGTGGTTCAACCAGATGAGCGGGAGTTCTTTGTTTCTTAAGTCCTGTTAGTTTTGTCGTATCACCTAACATTTTGGATTTAGCATCCACTTATCAGGGAGACCATGTACCGTTTGTCTCTTCGTTCTTGGCTTACCTCGCTCAACATGATTCCTTCTAGCTCCATCCATTTCCCTGCAAATGCCATTATTTTGTCATTTCTAATGGCTGCATAATATTCCATTGTGTATAGATACCACAATTTTTGGATCCATTCATCTGTGGTGGGGCATCTAGGTTGTTTCCATATCCTAGCTATTGCGAACAGTGCTGCAATAAACATGGAGGTGCACGTGTCCTTGTATATTGGTTCCTGTTGTTCAGGGTAGATGAGAGCAGCCCTTTTTAAAGCCAAAAAGGGTGGGTGGCATGGCAGGGGAGGAAGAGGAACCAATCACTGTCAAGGTCACACCCTATCATGCACCTAAGCCTTCACAGGCTGGTTAGGCACTGATCGTAAGGCAAATTGGGCTCTGCCCACTCTACTCTCTCCCAGCGCCATCTTTGCTGCCCATGTGCTCTGCACGTCAATATATATTTAGTTGTGGTCTGTGTTTTCTCTTCCAGGCTACTTCTCCACACCAGTCTCAGCAGTCCACTGTGGATGTTGGCCAACTCCATGACCCTCAGACCTACACCCAGCATGCCATCCAGGTGCAGCACATCCAGGTCACAGAGCCTGCCACCACGACCCCACCTTCATCCCAGGTACAGGTCTCTATAGACTATGCTGCACTGAGCTAGCTGGGCCTCAGGGACCACAGAGTTAATAGGAGATTATTAACTTGTTGAGATGAGGTCCTTATTTTCTGACCTTAATGAGTTCTACCTTTGCCTTCTGGGCTTGAACTCGGGCCTGGGTGCTGTCTCTGAGCTCTTTTGCTCAAGACTAGCACTATACCACGTGAACCACAGCTATACTTCTGGCTTTTTGTGATTAATTGAAGAGTCTCTCAGACTTTCCCTGCCTGGCCTGGCTTCAAACTGTGATCCTCAGATCTCAGCCTCCCAAGTAGCTCGGATTACAGGCATAAGCCACTGGTCCCCGGCTATTTTATTTTTTTATATTGGTATTGTAGACATGTTTGCATTAAGCTATTAGTGACCCTGTCCCAGAGGTGTCTTGTGATATGACATTTTAGAAACAACACGTCTTTCTTTCCATCCTAAATGCAATCACTAAGTTGCTTCTGTGATTTGGAACAGTTTTGTGGGGTATTTTTGGGGATTGTGCATTATTGCATTTGTATGATTAAGTCTATTAACTGAGATATATAGGTATGGGAGTCCAAAGGAGGAAGAGCTTCTGCTTAACAGCAGATAAAGGACACTTTTGTCTTCTGATCTCTGGACTAGGTGTTGAAGGACAGGTATGGTGGTGTCATGATATTTGGAGAAGGCATTAAGACCTAAATAGGCTCATGGTGTGAGGAAAGATACTGACATGAGAGACTGGTACCACATAGGATACTGATTCCTCTTCCTACATAGGAAGAGGAAATAATGTTTGGAAAGGTATTTAGGAGCTATGTTATTAAATAACAGACAAAAGAGTGTGGTCTGCCAGATCCTGGTGGCTCAGGGCTGTAATCCTAGTTATTCAGGAGGCTGAGATCTAAGGATCTCAGTTCAAATCCAGCCTACCTAAGAAAGTCTGTAAGACTCGTATCTTCAATTAACCACCAGAAAACTGGAAGTGGCACTGTGGCTCAAAGTGGTAGAGCATTAACCTTGAACTGAAGAGCTCAGGAACAGCATCTAGGCCCAGTGTTGAAGCCCTACAATCTAGGGGTGGGGTGGGGGGTGGGGGGGGGAGAGTATAGCTCTTTATCCTGCGATTGGGAATCAGCCTCTCCATTGGATGTCTTTTTTTTTTTTTCCAGTCTTGGTGCTTGAACACTGGGCCTGGCCATTCTCCCTGAGCTCTTCAGCTCAAGGCTAGCACTCTACCTCTTGAGCTACAATGCCATGTTTATGTGGTACTAAGGAATCGAACCCAGGGCTTCATGCATGCTAGGCAAGCACTCTACCATTAAGCCACATTCCCAGCCCACCAGTAGATGTCTTAATGTGCCTGTGCTTAGTTCCACACCAAGCTGGGGTTATCCAGTTCCAGTGCAGTTGAATGGAAATCATGACTGCTGTCTTGTTTCCACTTAGGTCAGAGATTACCTTTGTGACCTAATAGTGCATTTTCACTTCTCATTTTCTTTAATCATATATAATAATGGAATATGGATACTGGGTCTAACTGGTATCACCTTGGTATCTTGGTAGATGATGGGGAACTTCTGAAAACTCTTAGAGGTGAAATCCCATACCTGCCCCCGGGTGATAGGCAGGCCTGAATTCCTAGAAGCAGATGGACTTGGACAATAGGTTCCCAGACCTGCCAGACCTGTACTAATAACTTGGAAGCCTCCTTGAACTCTCTAGCTGCCTGTAACCCTGCCCCCTGTCCATGACCCTGTTATCTCCACCGCCATTGTGCCTTGCCTTGTGTCTCCTGGCTCTCCTCAGGTCACCATGGCATCCCTCTTCAGCTCTCCATTAGAGTTGATCTTTGTTGAGATTGTTTTTCTGCTCTTTACTATGCTCGTAGCTCAGTTTCTTAACAGTAGTAAATGTGTTTAAGGCTGCAAATATTTTGGGGATATGCGTCCACTTGCAGTCGCTAGTTTTCTAATAAATACTCCCAATTCAGCCTCTCAAAATGTGACTTCTCTGTATCTTGCAATCACATTTCCATATAATAACGTAAGGTATTTTACTTACTCATTTCTCTTTCTAGCAAGTTTACTGAAATTAATTCTTTGAATATTTTTATAGATAATCCTTTGAAAACAAATCAGAACGTCAGCATGCTAATTGCTTTTCATGAATTCTATGCTTATACCTGTATTATTCCTTTAGCTGGGATACTTTAGTTTCTTGTCAGTTATTAAGTCTATTGGCATTTCATCTAGTCCTGGGTTTGCTTTGTCTTTCTCCCTAGGTAGCTGGGCAGCCATTAAGCCCTTCTGCCCAGCCAGCGCAGCAGGGGCTCAGCCCCTCCCACATCCAAGGCAGCTCTTCCACACCAGGGCAGGCTCTGCAGCAACCCCAGCAGCAGCAGCCACAGCCACAGCAACAGAACACCTCTGTGCAACACACATACCTCCCCAATGCCTGGAATTCCTTCCGTGGCTATTGTGAGTAAGAAAAGGGGGACAACACTCAATGGGGTTATGTTTTAATGTCAACAATTTTATAATAGATTTTTAGATTGAAGTACTAGTTAGTTATTTTTGATACATTGTGACATTGTATGTATGTGTGTGTATGTATGTATGTATGTGTGTATGTATGTATGTATTTCTGTGCCAGTACTAGGGCTTGAACTCAAGGCCCTCTGGCTTTTGCTTAGCTTTATTTGCTCAAGGTCGGCACTCTATACTTGAGCCACTCCTCTACTTCTGGTTTTTGGCTGGTTTATTGGAGATAAGAGTCTCTTTAGCTTTGTCTGCCCAGGCTGACTTCAAACCTTGATCCTTAGACCTCAGCCTCTTGAGTAACTGGGATTACAGGTGTGGGCCATTGGCATCTGGCACTATTGATTTCTTTTTGGAGGGTCCATTTCTATTGTGATTGGTCCTTGGCTGTGTTATATGGATTTGCTGTGGAATCAGGCTCATGCTCTATCATTTTGGTTCCTTTTTTTGGGGGGGGGGGGGTCCAGTCGTGGGGCCTGAACTCTGGACCTGGGCGCTGTCCCTCAGCTCTTCAGCTCAAGGCTAGCACTCTACCACTTGAGCCACAGCACCACTTCCGGCTTTTTTTCTTTTTGCTTATGGTGCTGAGGAATCGAACCCAGGGCCTCATGCATGCAAGGCAAGCACTCTACCACTGAGCCACCTTCTCAGCTCTCATTTTGGTTCTTTTTATCATCTCTGTTCACCTAAGTATTGTTGGTTAAGAGGAGGGCTGAGTCTAGTTTTCAGTCAGAAAGACTCTCTTACTCATAATAATAAATGCTGATAAAAACCTGGTAAATATACTGACATAATATCCAGATTAATTACTGTGAAAGAAAGGGGAATGAAGATATCCATGTAATAATACTACGAACTACGATGCTAATAAGAAGAAGAAATTCTGGAACTGAGTTGGGGGGGGGGAGAATTGGGGCTAGAACTCAGGGCCTTGAGCTCTGTTGCTCAAGGCTGGAGGCTGGTACTCTACCACTTGAGCCACATCTCCACTTCTAGGGGTTTTTTTTCCTGCTGGTTAATTAGAGATAAAAGTCTTACGGATTTTACTGCCTGGTCTGGCTTTGAACCCTGATGTTCAGAACTCAGCCACAGCTGTGAGCTACTGGTACTTTTTTTTTCTTTAGTATATATTAATAGCAGAAGGGGGGGGCGGTTCATTGTGATTCCTTGGAGGTGTATAGTATATTTTGGACAAATTCATTTTCCTAACACTCTTAGCCTCCTTCTCTCCTACTTTTTCAAACAGTATTTGGTGGATTTTGTTATGCTATCTTCATATAGAGATAGATAGATAGATAGATAGATAGATAGATAGATAGATAGATAGAGTTGATAGGTGTAATATACTTCTATTCTCTTTTCCTCCTGCACTGAGCCCACCTTAAGAAAGTCCCCCTTTTACACTCATGTCCCATTATTATTGTTATTGTCATTGTCATCGTCATTTTCAGTTTAGATTCCACATATGACGGAAAGTATGCAATATTTGTCATTTTGAGTTTTCTTACTATTCTGATCATCTACAGTGGAGCTGAAATTTTTTATTAAGGAAAAGTTCCAAAATTGTGAATAATGTAGCAAACCACTATACCCACCATCCAACTTCGATAGTTACCAGCCTTGTCTCATCTCTACTCTTTCTTTTGCTCTTATTTTCCAGCAGAATAATAATCCACTATATCATTTCATCGATAAATATTTTTGTATATATCTCTAAAATGAAAAGACTTTTTGGTTCTGGGGAATCAAACCTGGTGCCTTGTATATGCTAAGCACATGTTTTACTATTGAGTTATACCTCAGGCTCAATGATTCCTTTTTTTTTGTCAGTCATGGGACTTGAACTCTTCAGCTCAAGGCAAGCGGTCTACCACTTGAGCCACAGCACCACTTCCAGTTTTCTGGTGGCTAATTGGAGATAAAATTTTCATGGACTTTCCTGCCTGGGCTGGCTTTGAACCATGATCCTCGGATCTCAGCCTCCTGAGTAGCTAGGATTACAGGTGTGAGTCACCAGCACCCGGCTTTAATGATCACTTTTAAAAATACATTATCACAATACAGTACTATATTGTATCTAAAAATAAATGACAATTATTTTCTCCCTCAAATGTATTCTAGACAATATTCATATTTCTGATTGCCTGAGAAAACTTTTTTAAATGGTTGCTTTGCTCAAATTGAGTTCTACATGAGGGCCATACTTGCAATTTTCAATTAGTTGTGTGTGTGTGTGTGTGTGTGTGTGTGTGTGTGTGTGTGTGTGTGTGTACTGAGATTTGAACTCAGGCCATCATACTTGGTAAGCAAGTAATCTATCACTGGAGCTATATCCCCAGCTCTTTTTGCTTTAGTTGTTTTTTTCTTTTTTTCTTGTTTTTTTTTTTTTGGGGGGGGGGTCCGACCATGGGGCTTGAACTCTGGGAGTGGGTGCTGTCCCTCAGCTCTTCAGCTCAAGGCTAGTGCTCTACCACTTGAGCCACAGCACCACTTCCAGCTTTTTTCTTTTGCTTATGTGGTGCTGAGAAATCGAACCCAGGGCCTCAGGCATGCAAGGCAAGCGCTCTACCACTGAGCCACCTTCCCAGCCTTTTAGTTGTTTTTTTATAAGATTTCACTCACACTTTTTGCTTAGGCTAGCCTGGGACCATTATCTTCCTGCTCCTACGTCCTAAGTAGCTGTGACCACAGGCATGTGCTACCCCATCTGGCCTGTTTATTGAGATCGAATCTCTAATTTTTTTTTTTTGTGCTGGCCTTGAACTTCAATTGTCCTATCTCTACCTTCTAAGTAGCTGGGATTACAGGTATGTATCATAATGCCTAGCTTGATTTGGGATGTTCAAGTTAGGATTTTTTGTTGTTGTTGTTGTTGGTCATGGGGTTTGAACTCTGGGCCTGGGTGCTGTCCCTCAGCTCTTCAGCTCAGGGTGAGTGCTTTACCACTTGAGCCACAGATTCACTTCCAGTTTTTTGATGGTTAATTGGAGATAAGAGTCTCATAGATACTAGTTGCCAGTGGCTCCTGCCTGTAATCCTAGCTACTCAGGAGGCTGAAATCTGAGGATGGTGGTTCAACGCCAGCTGGGGCAGGAAAGTCTATGAGATTCTTTTTTTTGGGGGGGGGGGTCCAGTCGTGGGGCCTGAACTCTGGGCCTGGGCACTGTCCCTCAGCTCTTTAGCTCAAGGCTAGCGCTCTACCACTTGAGCCAGGGCGCCACTTCCGGCTTTTTTCTTTTTGCTTATGTGGTGCTGAGGAATTGAACCCAGGGCCTCAGGCATGCAAGGCAAGCACTCTACCACTGAGCCACCTTCCCAGCCCCAGTCTGTGAGATTCTTATCTCCAGTAAGCTACCAGAAAACTAGAAGTGGCACTGTGGCTCAAGTGGTAGAGTACTATCCTTGAGCTGAAGAGCTCAGAGACAATGCCCAGGACCAGAGTTCAAGCCTCACGACCAACAACAACAAAAAAAGAGTCTCATTGATTTTCCTGCCTGGGATGGCTTTGAACTGAGATCCTCAGATCTCAGCCTCCTGAGTAGCTAGGATTACAGATGTGAGCCACTAGTGCCAAGCTTAGGATTTTGTTTTGCTTTTTAACATTACTGGGATACAAAAGCATACCTATAAAAACATTCTGGTTTTTGTTTGGGAGGCAGACTGTCACTTTGTTACCCTAGCTGTTCTGGAACTCTCAGGCTCAAGCAGTCCTCTTGCCTTAGTCCGTAGAGGGGCCTACAAATGCATGCCACCGTGTCTACTTGTATTCATTTTTAATACAGTATTAATTTACATGAAATATGAAACAATTATAAAACGATCTTTGTGCTAGATGGTTTTGGCCAACTGCAGGTTGATCTAAGTATTCTAATCATGTCTATGGTAGGCAAGGCTAAATGCTGATATTTGTAAGTTAGGTATATTAAATGAATTTTCTTGTGCTTCTGGAGAAGGATCTTAGGGTCTTGCACTCTGTAGGCTAATGTTTTAGTGCTGAACTTCATCCCATTCGAAAATGCATTTGTTTTCAATTATGATGGGTTTATTGAGATGTAACCTAATCCTGTAAGTGGAAAAGCATTTGTTTCTAGAGCGCTATTAAAATCTAAGACCACTGAACAGTGTATATTTCCTGTTTTCAGCATCTGAGATTCAGATGATGACACTCCCCCCAGGTCAGTTTGTGATCACGGACAGTGGTGTGGCAACTCCTGTCACTTCTGGCCAAGTAAAGGCAGTTACTCCGGTAAGTCATCTTGCAGAGCTGTGCCATAGCCCTTGTCCCAGAACTTTTTTTTCTTCTCAGTACTGGGTATCAAACCTTACCTTGTGCATGCTAGGAAAGCAATCTACACCACTAAGCTATGTCCCAAGCTCCTCCTTCTCTCTCTTATAGCCCTAGATTTTGTGTTTTGTGTGTGTGTTATGTGTGTGTGTGTGTGTGTGTGTATGCGCGTGTGTGCGCGTGCATGCTTGCATGTGTTGCTACTATGGCTTGAACTCACGGTCCAGACATTATCCTTTAAGTTTTTTTTGCTCAAGGCTGCACTTTACCACTTGAGCCACAGTTCCACATCTGGCTTTTTGCTGGTTCTCTTAGATTTGTCTTGCCTGGGCTGACTTTGAGCCTCAGTTCTTAGATCTCAGTTTCCTGAGAAACTAGCATTACAGATGTGAGCATTACAGATGTGAGCTCTATTGCTCAGCAGTCCAGATTTTTTTTTTTTTGGTCCGTCATGAGGCCTGAACTCTGGGCCTGGGCGCTGTCCCTCAGCTCTTCAGCTCAAGGCGAGCGCTCTACCACTGAGCCACCTTCCCAGTCCCAGTCCAGATTTTTAAAGATCCTTTTCTTTCTGTTCTTAGGGTCACTATGTGTTATCAGAAAGCCAACCGGAATTAGAGGAAAAGCAAACTGCTGCCCTCTCTGCAACAGTGCAGGTTCAGCCTTCCACACACAGTGACTCCTTGGATTCTCAAAACAGCAGCCAGCAGCAGACAACACAGTACATCATCACGACTACCACCAATGGCAATGGCAGCAGTGAGGTGCACATCACTAAGCCGTAATGCATCTATCAGGAGCTAGACGGACTCACATCATATCTTTTCTCCTTCATCAATCAGCTTCTGACCCCTAGAACTCTTTTTTAAGATTTATTACTCACTCAAGAGTTTGGAAACTACCGTTTTGACACTCACATGTGCTGGGGGTGATTTTTGCCAATGTCATCTTTAGCAAATTGACTCTTCAAACCCTTGGGCTTTCTGCCACAGAACGGAGATCTTTCAGAGGAAAGTACATTTCAAGATGGAGAAACTTGGATTTTCCCTTGTTAGTTGTGTGTCTTCCTTCCTTCCTTTCTTTCTTTCTTTCTCTTTCTTTTGTTCACAACACACTAATAAGCCTTATTCTCCCTTTGTGGAAATATTAAGTGGTATATTGTATTCATACCAAAGGTGGAGACAGGATGGCCATTGGACTGCTGAATTCTAAGCCATGGCACCAGAGGAGAAGGGGTAGTTTATGGGTGTGAATTAGGTCAAGACTGCTTTCTCTTGTGTGTTTGAGTTTTCAATAATTTGACAAAGAAACTTCCTAGAAGAAAAAGTTAAAATGATGAGAAAAAAGTTTGACAGTATTCTCAAGGGAAAACTGTTGTCTAAATTTTTCTTACTGTTGATTTTTTAAATTGCTTTTTTGGTGGGTTAGATAGGGGTATTGCTCTATTGCTCAGGCTGGTCCTAAATTTCTGGGCTCAGATAATCTTCCTGCCTCAGCCTCCTGAGTAACACAGGCATGTGCCACCATTTTTTTTAAGTTTCTTATTTAAAAAAACAATGTTGTTTGCTAATTGATAGTGCTTTCCACAGATGCTAGTCTTAGCAGATGAAGTAGAACCTCATGCTCTGATAGTTCCTCAATATGAACTCACTGAGGAAAAAACATCCTTGGTTTCAGCAGATTTCAAGCCCGCACATTAAAATGTTGCCTACCATTCTCTGGTTGTAGTTGTATTAAGAAGGAGATATTAGTACCAAGAAAAATTACTAAAGCTATGTGTAGAAAGAGAGACCGAGAGATAGTCAGAAAGAAAGTACTAAAATCTTGTCTTGCTTTGCAGGATGCATTTACCATTTATTGGTAAAAGATGAATTCCTTGTTCTTACCAAACATATGTTTAACTTTATTTATTTATTACTATTTTTTGTGGTGCTGAGGATCAAATCCAGGGCCTCAAGCATGCTGAGGTGCTCCATCAATTAACCACACCCCAACATTTAACTCTTGCTTACAACATTCAGTATATTTTAGTACTTTTAAGGTCATCTTAAAATGAACATTCTTTAATGTTGGATGGAAAGATGGCCTTTATTATTTTTAAACACTTTTTCACTATCAATACATTGTAACTCATCTGGACCTACTTGTAAAATGACCAATTTCCACTTAGGGTAAAAAATGAAAACTTGAGGACCATTTGTAATAGCTTAGGATAATGTAAAGGATCTGGAATATATTCAGTCTTTATGAATATTATACTGTTTGTTGAAAGAAGAAAACTATGCTGTGACGATAGTTGGTTGGGAGCCTCGTTTGCTATGAATTCAGTGAGGAAAAGTATTTTTTTCCTTTTTATTGTACATTCCAGTTATTATCCATAAAACATTTCAAAAGTCAGTATGTATTTTAACAACTTTTGTGACATATTTTTTTAGAGTACTTATATTGTATAGTGAACTTCCCACTCCAGATTAGGAAGACTTATATGTTCATTTCAAATGAAGGTAACTCACTGATCTTATTCACATTTATGAGTAAAAACTGTCTATATGAACTAAGAAGTATAGTGGCTTTTTTTATGGTAAAGATACCTTTCTGAAAAGCAAACAATTCTTTTGCAATAACTTTATTAAAATGTAGATCTTGCACTTTGATTTTGAGAAGTTCATTCATACTGTTATCTCTGAAACTTAGGGCACTAAGAAAATTTGAGAAAGTTATCTCAAAAATATGTGAAACCTAGCTGGGCATAGTGGCACATACCTATCATACTAGCACTTGGGAGATCGAGGCAGGTTTGTAAATTCAGGGCCTGCCTGGGCTACATAGCAAGACCCTGTCTCAAAAAAAAAAAAAGAAGTGTGAAAACTGAAAAGGGCCTATGTATCTTTGGTGACAAAGAGGTATGATAATTTCAACTAAAAATACCAACTTTGAGTCAAAATGCAAACTTTGGTTTCCATAGTCCCATAAAGTGTTGGTTATAAATAACCTAGTATCCAGTCTAGAAAGAATAGACTTTTTAAAAGTCCAGTTTTTTTTGGGGGGGGTTGCGGGGGGGGGGGGTCTGGTCATGGGGCCTGAACTCTGGGCCTGGGCACTGTCCCTCTGCTCTTCAGCTCAAGGCTAGCACTCTACCACTTGAGCCACAGGGCCACTTCCGGCTTTTTTCTTTTTGCTTATGTGGTGCTGAGGAATCGAACCCAGGGCCTCATGCATGCAAGGCAAGTGCTCTACCACTGAGCCACCTTCCCAGCCCCCCAGTTTTAGTTTTTATAACTTAAATTTGTCCCTGTTAGATTCTTTTTTTTTTTTCTTATTTGAACCAGCAAGGAACTCTCTCTTCTCAGGAATACCTTACTGATTAAAATTTGTAAAAGGAAACTATCACTGAGTGGAATGTTCATTTTATGCTAGTTATTTTATTATTTAAAATACATAGAGGAAAATATTGTTGAAGGATCTTTTTGTCACTTTCTCTTCTAGTGTTTCTTCCCATCTTTTTTGGTCCTTATGTGGTCCTTCTGGTCCTTATATATTAGCAACCTGAGAGGTGGGCAGTGGGTTTTGCCAAATGACACCAGTTTTAGATCAGGGATGTACACAGTCATCTGAGGGAAGAGGTTTTTCAAAAGGACTTGTATTTGAAAGGGTAGCAGGTTAGAATTCCTCAGAAGTCCCAGCTGGGAAACAGGGATGTAGCCAATACTTATATTATGACCTCTTCCTTTGATCCTGTAGATTTCAGTGCCGGATGAATATTTGGAGTAGGTTGAGTATATTTTTTTTAACATTTTTATTGTTTGATTAGTATCCTGAGAAATGGACATTTCATCATGTAAAATTCCTGTTCTTCTGGAAAGGCTTTTGTTTTGATGTTCTTGAATTATTTTCTGACCCAGAATTATCCTTTAAAAACAAAACAAAACAAAAAGTCAAGATATCTAGAGCTAAAAAGCACTTCATGAGATGCTAGAGCTGATCCATTTGGTTGAAATGTTGACCTTATCCTGTTACTTAAATGTGAACATTTATTGTATATTCAGTGAGTTATAGTGTTAATAGTCTTGTGCTACCCAGCAGGTGTAAAAATTAATAAATATTTTTTCTAATAAATATGTGTTTCGTTTGTGTATATGAAGCTGTGTGAAGCTGCAAGAGCTATTGGTGTGGTTGAAGTGGTGTTTTGTTGTTGTTTTGCTTTTTAAATTACACCTTAATTTCTGGTTTCTGGTTGGGCATTTAAGAAACTTGAAAGTCCTTTCAGGCATTGGTGACTCACACCAATGGCTACTCTGGAGGCTGAGATGTGGGGATTATGTTTCTAAGCCAGGCCAGGCATGAAAATCTGTGAGACTCCAATGAACCAGCCAAAAAAGAGCCAGAAGTGGAGGTATGGCTTAAGTGGCAGCCATGAGCAAAAAAAGTTGAGGAACAGCACCAAGCCCCAAATTCAAGCCCAAGTACCAGCACACATAAACACACACAGAGTCAAATTTACCAGGCTCATGCCTGTAATCATAGCTACTCAGAAGGCCGAGGTCTGAGGATCACTGTCTTAAGACAGTCCAAGGCAAGAAAGTCCTGAGACTCTTTTTTTTTTTCTTCTTTTTTTTTTTTTTGGGGGGGGGGTCCGGTCGTGGGGCCTGGGCGCTGTACCTCCGCTTTTCAGCTCAAGGCTAGCACTCTACCACTTGAGCCACAGCACCACTTCCGGCTTTTTTCTTATGTGGTGCTGAGGAATCAAACCCAGGGCCTCGAGCATGCAAGGCAAGTGCTCTACCACTGAGCCACCTTCGGAGCCCCAGTCCTGAGACCCTTATCTCCAATTAAATACCAGAAAGCTGGAAGTGGAGCTCTGGCTCATGTGGTAGAGTGCTAGCTAGAGTTAAAAAGCTCAGGGACAGTGCCCAGAACCTGAGTTCAAAAACCAGGACTGGTACCAAAAAAAAAAAAAAAAGTAAAGTTGTGAAAGTCTCTACTTATCCCATAAACAAATATAAAAGCTGAATAAGTCAAAACATTAACAAATTTTCTTAAATATATCACTGAAGGGAAGTCACGGGCCACAAAACTGGAGAGGCTAGCAGTGATTCTCTCTAGACACTATGTTGAAAATAAACTATACAACTTGGGGATGGGGACAGGAAGGAAAAACAGTGAGGGAAAAGGGGTGATAGTGTCCAAAAAGAATTGTACTCATCACCTGATTGATTTATGTACCTTCAACCCCTCTGTACGTGACTTTTATAGTAAGAAATTAAAAAAAAAACCAGATAGGTGATAGAAAGTATCACACCTAATGAACAAGTATTTATTAGCAGAAGCCTCTAAGGGAGCTAATGGAGAGCAGGAAAACCTGACTTGTAATTGATACGTTGCTGAAGGTACAGTCTAGACAACTCTTTAGAGATTAATAACTCCAGAGGGTGCCACACTAGGACAAAAGGGATTCTTTTTTTTTTTTCCTTTTTTTTCCCCCTTTTTTTTTGGGGGGGGGGTGTCTGGTCGTGGGGCCTGAATTCTGGGCCTGAGCGCTGTCCTTCAGCTCTTCAGCTCAAGGCTAGCACTCTACCACTTGAGCCACAGTGCTACTTCCGGCTTTTTTTTTTCTGCTTATGTGGTGCTGAGGAATTGAACCCAGGGCCTCATGCATGCAAGGCAAGCGCTCTACCACTGAGCCACCTTCCCAGCCCTCTTTTTTTTTGGATCGGCTGTGGGGCTTGAACTCTGGGTCTGGGCACTGTTCCCGAGCTCTTCAGTTCAAGGCGAGTGCTCTACCACTTGAGACACAGTGCTACTTCTTGTTTTCTGGTGGTTAATTGGAGATAAGAGTTTCATGGACTTTCCTGCCCAGGCTGGCTTTGAACTGCAATCCTCAGATCTCAGTCTCCTGAGTAACTAGGATTATAAGTGTGAGCTACCGGCACCCAGCCATATTTCTTCTTTGAGCTTTACCTCCAGGAACTTGGCTAGATTTTCACAGTGAATATTATGGAACAATCCCTTGGTGCTGCTGAGGTATGTGAGGGGGGTAGGGGTGAGGACAGTAGTGGAGAGCCAGCCAGAAACCACTCTGAATATTCCAGAAGATTCTACTACTTAACAATGACTATTTTCAAAAGAGGAGGTAAGTTAATCAGAGTCCAACTGGCATATGTTTTATCTGATCCTAACTGACCCAGGCAATGGGAAATAACCCAATTCCTCCATCTAAGCTATAGCCATCCTTTGCCACCTAAGGAGGAGAAAACCAGAAACAATTGTGAAGGTAATCACTTAGAATCACAAAGACCAAATCTAGGATTCTAAAATATCCTCCCCCCCATCTAATCCCCATCTAGCTAGAGACCTACTTGCAGAAATTATCTTAACTAGTAAATTACAGGGCTGAGAGCTGGTGGCTCACTCCTGTAATACTAATCATTCAGGAGGTTGAGATCTTAGGACTGAGGTTCAAAGCTACCCCAGGCAAGAAAGTTGTGAGACTCATCTCCAAGTAACTAGCAAGAGCTGGAAGTAGAGTTGTGGCTCTAGAGGTAGAGTGCCTGACTTGAATGAAAAAGCTAAGGGACAAATCTCAGGCCCTGAGATCAAGTCCCAGGACTGGCAAACAACAAAACAAAAAAAACCATTTTGTGTGCGTGGAGTGAGGTGTGTGTGTTTATGTGTGTATGTGTGTGCTGGTCCTGGGCTGGTCCTTGGGCACTGTCCCTGAGCCTTTTTGCTCAAGGCTAGCACTCTACTACTTGAGTGCTACTTCCAGCTTTTCAGTTGTTAATTAGAGATAAGAGTCTCATGGACTATCCTGCTTGAGCAGGCCTTGAATTACAGGCTTGATATGTTGAATTGAAACCTCTTTGTATAACTACTTAAAGCTAATTAAAAAAATAAGAACACAACCCTAGAAATACTGGCCAAAGACATCTTGCAAAGAATATATACTGATGACAAGGAAGTATCTGAAAAGATACTCCAGTTCATGTCATCAGGGAAATTCAAATTAAAACTATATGAGATGCCACATTATGGCTACTCTCCAGAACCATGACAACACCAAAATGCTACCAAGAATCTGGTCATAGTCCCAAGGAAAGAGAAACCTTGATGATAATGATAATATAAATATATTATATTTAAATATTTATACAAGGGTGGTTTCTAGTTCAAGAACCTCCCAACAGCCTTACCAGAATGAAGGGCATCTTTTCCACAGTGGAGCAGGTGGAGGAGCATGGGAAATCAGTGTTTTCCATAGAGGACAGGACATTAACTTGTGCTGCTGGCTGTATTCTCTGATATATTTCTATTCAATCCAGAGAACTGAAGGTGGTCTCTGCATCACTAGGGGAGCAACCAAATTATGATATATTGAACAAAAACATACTGTGTATGTGTGTTTGTGTGTATGTGTGTGTGTGTGCGCGTGCGCTCGTTTTTCCTAGGTGCTACCCCTGAGGTTTTTTGTTTTTTGGTTTTTTTTTGCTCAAAACTAACTCCCTACCTTGAGTTACAGCTCCAGCTCTGGCTTTTTTCGGTAGTTATTTGGAATTAAGAATCTGACAGACTTTGTTGTCTGGGCTGGCTTTGAACCGTGATCCTCAAATTTCAGTCTCCAGAATAGCTAGGATCACAGGCGCGAGCCGCCGGTGCCTGGCAGAACACTGTCTTCCAAATGCACTTTCTGGGCATTGGGAGCATGGAGATGTGAGGAAAGAAAATCAGGGGCTCAGGTTGAAGTCCGTCTTTTCCTCTCGGAATCCGGAGAAACCTAGATTTCCTCCACTGTAGAATGAACACTTGGCCGGTCGCAGGTGCTGGGCACATGCGGCCCCAGTACAAAGACAGTGGAGAGAACCTGGTTGTCACAGTGCCTGTGAAAGGGTATGCTTAATGTAAACGTTAGCTTGCAGGACTTTCATTTCTCCCGGCAAAGAACTGCAACTTCTTTCTGCCTTCCCCAAACTCCTAAACCAAGTGAGGACACCGTGGATCGCAGCCTTCCTCTGACACCAATAGACAGGGCGTTTACAGACGGCCCCGCTGCTCTGGGCCCCGCCCCAGCTCCGCCCCTCGCCGGCCCCGCCCAGACAAGCCCCGCCCCTTCCGCCGCCCGAGCCCGGAGCGTGCACGCACCCGCACGCCTTGCGGGAGCGAGCGCGTCCGGGAGCCCGCGGCTGGAGAGGCGCTGCGGGTTGGGAGACCCGCGTCCAGGATTCTGGTGAGGGCGGGCCCAGGGCGGCGGGAGGGTTAAAATGTGGCCCGGGGGCGGAGAGAGGAAGTGGGGCTCCTAGGGCGCCGCCTCCCGTGGGCTAGGGGCAGGAAGCTGGGCGTTGGGAGCGGGGCGGCCCGTGTGGGTGAGGGTTAGGGTTAGGCACCGTGTGGGGGAGGGGCGGGGTGCTGTGCAGAGGGGCGGGGCCGGAGCCTGGCGCGGGGTGGGATGGGGTGGGATTTGCTGTCAGAGGCGAGGAGTTTGGAATAGGCAATTGCTCTGGAGGGAACTGTTTAATTCTGCGTGCGGAGAGTCCTGGAGGGTAGGTCCGTGAGCCAGGTGCAGAGGGAAGGCCTTTGGGAGAGACTTTCCTGGTCCCCTCAAGAAGTCCAGGACACCCAAGACTCACACCGATGGCTTCCGGGTTCCAGCTCTCTGGTAGCTGCTTGCCTTTCTTTAATTTGAGATCCTGTTTAGAATAGTTGGCAGAGTACTGGACACTGGTGAAAGTGAACTATGCAACTCGTGGGTGGAGATGGGAGGGAGGGAATGGGAGAATGAGGGAACAGATGACCCTGAGAAAGGACATGTATTTATTACCTGACATATATGAATGTAACCCTGCTGTATAGCACCTCTAAAACAACAGTAACGAAAGTTTAAAAAAGCCCCCCAAAAGAATTGTTGGCAGGGCAGAGGTTGTCACAGGGATATATTACAGTTAGTTAAACATCTTGTTGTAACTGAAGAAATTTACAAGTAAGTTGTGTAGGTAAGTGCCTGGCAGCGTTACTCACTGCAGTTGTTCTGCGTAGTATTAATTCTGTCATGGGGATTTTATTCTAAATATCAAGTTGCTTCTACATTAAAAAAAATACAAAACTCAGGTGCAATGTGCAGAAGG